TTTTCAGCCAGCAGGGGGACTACCTGTCATTACAGGCAGCCCCCCTGCTGGCAGTGCAGGAGGCAGCTATCCCAGCCATGTGATTGTGAGGTCCTCGCAAGGCCGGGGGGGGCTTCAGGAGGAAGATCTGCCGCGGGGGGGCTCCCTGGGAGTCCCCCCACCGCCATCGCCGGGTAAGTAAGAAAAGACCGGAGAGCGTACTATTACGCCCGGCGGCGTTTAGAGCCGCCTAAAATAGGGCGTAATAGTACGCCCTCCGGTGTTAAGGGGTTAAATTGTATGTTTCAGTATAAACGTGTATAGATATGCCACATCACCATATGCTTAATATATATCCACTTAATAGTCGTCCTGTGAGTTGGGCTGAGGTACGTTCTGCACATTTTTGGTGTAATGGGCTGGTAGGTCATAACGCATATTTTAGCTGTGCTATTGGTGTGGGTAGCGGCTATAGCTAGTGCTGCCCGCGTGGAGCATTTGGATAGTGTTTTAACTCTGGCACAGATTAGCTTATAGGCTCCCAGCCTGTTGCGTCAGGGCTGGAGTGTCCCCCAGGGTGGAGATCTTATAGTGGTGTTCGCCCTTGGTCACCCATAGCGTTCTAGGTGTTGCCCATCGGTATGTGTTAGGTTTGGTGATAATATAAGGGCTGGGTGTCTGTGATTCGTCGTTGTGTAAGAGAGTCATTGTACGGAGCGTGGTTGACTATGCTTTCCCAGGTATAACATCGAAAATGCAATATAAACTAACAACATGTTAACTTAGGTCTGGGCTTGTGGTCGCCGCAGGCTTCAAGGTATAGTCCCAGGATGCTTGACAGGTATGTCCGTGGCAGTATTGGGTAGTTCCAGTGTGGCCATCAGGGCTGGAGCATCCCCCAGGGTGAAGATCTTATAGTGGTGTTCGCCCTTGGTCACCCATAGCGTTCTAGGAGTTGCCCATCGGTATGTAATGCCCGATGTTTGTAGGGTGGACGTAACGGGCTGCAGGCTCTTGCGCCACAGTAGGGTATCTCTGCCTAAATCCTGGAAATAATGTAAGCCGGTGTGTTTCAAAGTCGTGTGGTGATTTCCCTTTGACTGCTGTAATCAGAGCAATTTTATCCGTGAGTGTCTGGCATCTCAGAATGATGTCTAAAGGGGCTGCCTGTGGTGCTTGACGAGGTTTGGTGATACGATATACGCCATCAAATGTAAAATGTTTGGCTTGCTTGTTTGGAAGGAGTGAGGCCACCAAGCGCCTTATATAGTGTGGCAGTTCATCCAATAGTACTTCTTCTGGTACACCTTATTTTTATGTTCTTCGTCTTGCCCCTGTCTTCTAGTACATTTATTTGTCTGTTGACGTTAGTTTGTACCTTTTGCAGCTAGGTAACTGTGTCTTTTAGAGAGGTGAGGCCTTGGCACAGGTCTCTCACCTCTTGTCCCGCAGCGTGGGTGCGGACCGACACCATTGTACTTCTGCTGCTAGTCCTTTTAGGTCAGCCTGCCACATGAGCTGGAGGTTTCATTGGAGGCTAGTCAGCATGGTCTGGATGTCCTGTTTAGTAGCCGAAGTTGGTTCTTCGGCTGTGGCGGAACCAACCTCGCCACTGGAGGAGCCTGGTTGCCCACCTCTTGCCGCTGGACTATGGCCCTGCATTAAAAACCTTTTATTTTCCCTATGTGAGCAGTGTTACCCCAGATAGCTAAGCCATGGAGCCCATTCGTATACCGAAAGACTTTGGCTCCATGGCGATTGAACATGTGATCTGAGCGCCATCCGGTAGTAATGGGCTCTGAGATCTAAACTATCTGGGGATAGGTAGAATGTGTATGTTCTATGTGATGAATGTAACAGTATGTAATTTTATGTCTTTTACTGTCTTTTTACTGCCATGTGGCTAATGGAGTTTTGGGATTACTTCCCAATTATCTCCAGGATAGAAGACTCTGTGGAACTGGTTTTGGGCAGAAAAACCATGCTGCATTTGGTCACATAGGACTTTCCCTTAACTTTTTAACCCCTGAACCGATTGCCCTGATTTTTGAATATGTGTATATTTCAAGCATGCGGATTCTGAATATGTAATTTTTATGAAGATTGGACGTATATTTTTAAAGTTATAGCACATGTATAAAAACTGTATTTTTCCTGCTTGTGATAATTATGTTAACCCATTGTGTACCATAATTAGATCACAGGCAGAGAGGAGGATTTTGTGTATAATTGCTGGGAGTGTTTTCTGTAATGTACATGTGTTATTGGTTGTTCTGTAAAACCCTGTGGGCAGTACTAAGTTTGTGGATTGGGAATAAAAGAGGCTGTATGTGCCAGTACAGTCTGTTCTGCTTGACCTTAAAACGAAGTCTCTTCTCGTTATTGGGGGAATTGGATTGTATGCTGATTGCCAGGAGTGTAAACTGATTGTATGCTTTTCCTGTTCAGCGGCTTACAGCATTCATATGCTTGAGAGCATTTGCATGCTTCTCCGGTTCGGTGGTTGTGGTGTCTGCTGCAGTGCTTGGAGTCCTCAGGAAGCGCTAGGAGCATCCTTCAACGGAGGTACCAAGTCGGGGTGCCAGGTGATCCGTTACAGGCGTTTTGCATGTTTGCGCTGTCAGTGGTGGCCTTGGCTGTGCTGTGTGTAGAGTCGCCATCTTCTGACCGCTCGGGTGAGGCTGTCGTGGCAGTTCGGGTCCGCGGTTGTATGGGAGTTTGCAGCATGCTGCTTATGTCCCTGTGTGGTAAGGAATTGCTCTGGGCTGGTTTGTGGGACCTCCATTTCTTCAGAGGTGTAAAAGTCTGATTCGGCGAGGTATAGGCTCGCCCCGATGTCAGCTCCCTGTTCAGGGTCTGGTCGCGTGTGTGGTAGGCCCCAGCTCCCTTTCTGCACAAACGGCATCTGTGGATTCAGCTGGGTGTCAGGAGTGAGTGCCTGCAGCCTGTTTTAGCCGTTGAGGGTTACATTTGTGTTTTTTTTTTATTGTTTTTTTCTCTCCCAGTTGTCAGAGCTGCTGGAAATGGTGCTCTCTCCGGTGAGCCGCTAGCTCCGCCCCCTTAATATTTATTTTAAATATTTATAGACTGTTTTACTACATGTATTATATTCTTTGCATATTCATTATAGTATCATTTATGTTGTTACTTGTTTATATATACATAACTTATAAACTCATAAGCTCATGATTTCACAGCCTCATGGCTTACTAATATATATACTAGCCATTTTTTTCTTTGAACATAAACATAACAAATATTTTTCTTTTTTTCCCTTTTCCCCAATATATGTTTTGAAATGTTTTTTTTTTTTTTTTAATTTTTCTTTCACATTAATAATAAAAAAATTTCTTTCTTTCACTTTTTTTTCCATTTTAATATTTGTATAATATTTAAGTTGTATTCATAAGCAGTATTTGACTATATTCAATATGATCATTATATTTACTTGTGTAACTTTAATGTTGTATCCTGTGCTGCCTTATTTTACAGACTCACAGCATACCAGTACACATAGTTACATAGGCTGAAAAGAGACTTGCGTCCATCAAGTTCAGCCTTTCTCACATTTGTTTTTTGCCGTTGATCCAAAAGAAGGCAAAAAAAAACCAGTTTGAAGCATAATTTTGCAACAAACTAGGAAAAAAATTCCTTCTTGACCCCAGAATGGCAGTCAGATTTATCCTTGGATCAAGCAGTTATTACCCTACATTGAAAGATTATATCCTTGAATATTCTGTTTTGCAAGTATGCATCTAGTAGCTGTTTGAACATCTGTATGGATTCTGATAAAACCACTTCTTCAGGCAGAGAATTCCACATCCTGATTGTTCTTACAGTAAAAAAACCTTTCCTTTGCCTTAGACGAAATCTTCTTTCTTCCAGTCTAAACGCATGACCTTGTGTCCTATATAAAGTCCGGTTTGTGAATAGATTTCCACACAATGGTTTGTATTGACCCCGAATATATTTGTATAATGTTATCATATCTCCTCTCAGGCAACGTTTTTTTAAACTAAATAGGTTTAAATTTGTTAACCTTTCTTCATAGCTGATATGTTCCATTCCTTTTATTAGCCCGCCTTTGCACTTTTTTTTCTATAATATCCTTCTTTAGAACAGGTGCCCAAAATTGCACAGCATATTCAATATGTGGTTTTACCAGCGATTTATAAAGAGGCAAAATTATATTCTCATCCTTAGAATGAATGCCCTTTTTCATACATGACAATACCTTACTGCCATGTGCCATCCCTGGTGGTCCAGTGGAGACTAAACTCTAGCCTGCGGGGCTAGAGTTCAGTCTCGCAAGATCTGAGCGTTCCCGCTGCAACGCTCAGATCTCGCAAGAGGAATGCGGCGGAGCTGCTGGCTAGAGCTCCCTGGGTCCTCTCCTGCCTCCCTCCATGCTGTTGTGGGCCGGTGATCTCCCTCATCGGCCCATGGAGGCTTAGAGTAGAGCAGGCGCTCGGATAGTGCCGGCTCTGCATGAGCCGACACTCCCCTGACGGTCTCAATCCATAGGCGTGTCCAGGCACACCCCGTGCGCACGCCTATGTTACCTTCAGGCTTTTTGCTGTAAACACTGTCTTTTCAGAGAAAATGCAGTGTTTACATTACAGCCTAGTGCTAACTTCACTGGCCACTCCTCAGATGGCTGTTAGAGATCCTTCCTGGGTCATGGCTGCCTAAAATGCATCCAAACATTCAGTAACTCCTCCCTCTGCATGCAGACACTGAACTTTCCTCATAGAGATTAATTGATTCAATTTATCTCTATGAGGAGTTGCTGATTGGCCAGGGCTGTGTTTGAATCATGCTGGCTCTGCCCCTGATCTGCATCTTTGTCAATCTCAGCTAATCCTATGGGGAAGCATTGTGATTGTATCAGGCTACCACTTCTGCTGATGTCAGCAGGCAGGTCTAAAGGAAACAGAGCCAGAGCTAGCAGCTCCAGACTTGAATACAATTAAGATTTTGCTATTTTTAGGGAGGCATGAGGGGACCAGGGGGGCTAGATGGTGGTTTTAACCCTATAGGGTCAGGAATACATGTTTGTGTTCCTGATCCTATAGTGCTCCTTTAAGCTCACAGGTCTATAATTTCCAGGCAAGAATTTTTTAAATATAGGAACCACATCTGCCTTCCTTCAATCCTCCGGAACACTGCCTGAAAGAAAAGAATCTTGAAAGATTAAAAGCAGAGGTTCACTTATTTCTACACTTAGTTCCTTAAGTACCCATGGATGAATACTGTCAAGCCCTGGAGCTTTGTTTATATTTTCTTTAGTTGCTGCAGCACCTTGTCTTGAGTTAACCAATTACAATTTTTCTGCAAGTTTTTAGCAATCATTTGCACATCTATTGCCATGGGTTCTTCCTTAATATATACGGAGGAGAAATTGTTATTTAAAATTTCTGCCTTTTCCTGTTCTTTATTAACTAACACTTGTTTTTAATCTCTTGTTTTACTAATCTACTAAGACACATTGGTTTTAATTTGTTTCTTTTATATTTATTTCCCAATGGTACATACTGAGAAATTTACCTTTCTAATATTTCTTGGAAGATGTTCCATTTATCCTCAGTTTTCTTTTCACTAAAGATTTTATGCCAGTCAATATATTGCAAAGCTGCCCTTAATTTATAGAAATAGGCCTTTTTAAAATTATATGTTTTAGTATTCCCGATGTGCTTATTTAAAAGGACACTATATTGTGATCACTATTTCCCAAGTGCTCACCTACTTGAATGTTGGTCAAAAGATCAACGTTGTTTGTTAGAACCAGGTCCAGACAAGCGTCCATTCTAGTTGGTGCTTGTACAAGTTGTGACATGAAGGTGTCATTTAACAAGTTCAAAAACCTAATTCCCTTTGCTGAGCAAATACAGAATTTGAAAAATGTATATCCAACAAATTTATTGTGTGTATGTATTAAATATTACATGCATTACAACGTATTACATGACAACACCTAATTTTACCTAAAACACCTAATTAGAAGTCGTTTCATTTTATTGTAATGTCTTCAATACTTGCTTCAATTAAATATTGTTTGTGAACTGTTTAATGTGAATTTTATAAAGGTATACAAAGGTTAACTTTCAGTTCACATGAATCTCCTTTTCGTCAATATTAACTAAAAGCTCCAAAAAAATGACCAACTGAACATTAACACAGCTGTACAATAACAACACTGTAATAGACTACTATGAGTTAGTTTTACACCGATGCAAGGTCATACAATCTCAAATTGAAACACGTTAAAGTAGAATGAGGCTCAAGTATCAACGTTTAAACCACAGTATTTAAAGAGCATTTCTTTTTCAGTCTGGGTTAAGCATCTACCTTATGAACTGGCTGGTTTATACAAGGTCTCCGTCCAAATGTTTGCCTTTCGTATCTTACAGTACCTTATGAGGAAGTATGGGTAAAATTGGTCATCATCAAAAAGTACAAAGATGTTAGGATCTTTTAACCTCGAGACACAGGAATCATAGAGAAGGCTGGCTGTGTCTTCAGGATTTAGTGGTGGGGGACGACGCAGAGAGGGGTAACCCACAGTTGGACATCCTACCAAGACTTTGGCTAGAAACATAAAACAATGACCACAGGGTGAAGCATGGATAAAGTTATGGGCATATCTAGCGCTCTTAAAGAAGTAGCATCCTTCCCCATACTGCGGTGTGTGTTTACCAATCACACGTGCATCAAAGTTCTGTCTACAAATATTCTCCACCAAAGCGTAGTGCGCACTGTAGAAAAGATAGCGCTCCAAATTATTATTTTCCGTTTCGGACAGGATTCGAGACATATAATCCTTCTTCCTGCAAAAAAAAATAAAAAACGTCATGACACAAGGAAAAGAATATGTAGAGACATAAAGGAGTAATGAATTTGTCCTGGATTTAGGGACCACCAAATGTCTAAAATTGGGTAAACTAATTAAAAACCTTAACTGTAGTTTGTCCTTAAATGGGCACTGTAAAGCAAATAAATACTACGGCCCCCTGTAGCAGTTATTGTGCCATCATGCCCCATGGATGATCCTCTGCGTCAAACCATTTTCAAGCAACCTCAGTATTGCATACATTAATATGTTTGGATGGCACTCATTGGCTGAAAGTAAACTTTCTAAAGTGACAGAATCACTCCCATCTGAAAAATGACCCCATAAAAATAACGGCATTACTATTCTAACCTTGCATATTTCTCCATCTGAAAATAATTCTGGATTCTACAGATGTCTAGGATCATGTACTGAGACTCTGACATGGTCTTGTGGAAATAGTTGTAGACACGTACAAATTCCATGTCCTTAAATGACAGGGAAACCTTCTCATAGAAAGGATCATTAACAAACCAAATCCGAGGATTCCTGCATGATCCTACATGATCCAAAGAGCAGGAGCTACTAACCGGGCACACACTGGGCATCATCCTGGGGGGAAAAAAAGACAGAAATATGATACATTTTTAACAGTAACACACACACAATGAGCCTGCCCCCCTACTTCCAGAGGGTGACACACACTGAGTCTGCCCCTCCCCCTGCAGGGTGACACAGACAGAAGGAGCTATGAGTCTGTCCCTCCCCCTGCAGGGTGACACAGTGACACAGACAGAAGGAGCTATGAGTCTGTCCCTCCCCCTGCAGGGTGACACAGTGACACAGACAGAAGGAGTTATGAGTCTGTCCCTCCCCCTGCAGGGTGACACAGTGACATAGACAGAAGGAGCTATGAGTCTGTCCCTCCCCCTGCAGGGTGACACAGTGACACAGACAGAAGGAGCTATGAGTCTGTCCCTCCCCCTGCAGGGTGACACTGTGACAGACAGAAGGAGCTATGAGTGTGTCCCTCCCCCTGCAGGGTGACACGGTGACACAGACAGAAGGAGCTATGAGTCTGTCCCTCCCCGTGCAGGGTGACACAGTGACACAGACAGAAGGAGCTATGAGTCTGTCCCTCCCCCTGCAGGGTGACACAGACAGAAGGAGCTATGAGTCTGCCCCTCCCCCAGCAGGGTGACACGGTGACACAGACAGAAGGAGCTATGAGTCTGCCCCTCCCCCCGCAGGGTGACACTGTGACACAGACAGAAGGAGCTATGAGTCTGTCCCTCCCCCTGCAGGGTGACACAGTGACACAGACAGAAGGAGCTATGAGTCTGTTCCTCCCCCTGCAGGGTAACACGGTGACAATGACAGAAGGAGCTATGAGTCTGTCCCTCCCCCTGCAGGGTGACACAGACAGAAGGAGCTGAGTCTGTCCCTCCCCCTGCAGGGTGACACGGTGACACAGACAGAAGGAGCTATGAGTCTGTCCCTCCCCCTGCAGGGTGACACAGTGACACAGACAGAAGGAGCTATGAGTCTGTCCCTCCCCCTGCACAGTGACACAGTGACACAGACAGAAGGAGCTATGAGTCTGTCCCTCCCCCTGCAGGGTGACACAGTGACACAGACAGAAGGAGCTATGAGTCTGTCCCTCCCCCTGCAGGGTGACACGGTGACACAGACAGAAGGAGCTATGAGTCTATGCCTCCCCCTGCAGGGTGACACGGTGACACAGACAGAAGGAGATATGAGTCTGTCCCTCCCCCCGCTGGGTGACACAGTGACACAGACAGAAGGAGCTATGAGTCTGTCCCTCCCCCTGCAGGGTGACACAGTGACACAGACAGAAGGAGCTATGAGTCTGTCCCTCCCCCTGCAGGGTGACACTGTGACACAGACAGAAGGAGCTATGAGTCTGTCCCTCTCCCTGCAGGGTGACACTGTCCCCCTGCAGGGTGACACAGACAGAAGGAGCTATGAGCCTGTCCCTCCCCCTGCAGGGTGACACGGTGACACAGACAGAAGGAGCTATGAGTCTGTCCCTCCCCCTGCAGGGTGACACAGTGACACAGACAGAAGGAGCTATGTGTCTGTCCCTCCCCCTGCAGGGTGACACAGTGACACAGACAGAAGGAGCTATGAGTCTGTCCCTCCCCCTGCAGGGTGACACGGTGACACAGACAGAAGGAGCTATGAGTCTGTCCCTCCCCCTGCTGGGTGACACGGTGACACAGACAGAAGGAGCTATGAGTCTGTCCCTCCCCCTGCAGAGTGACACAGTGACACAGACAGAAGGAGCTATGAGTCTGTCCCTCCCCCTGCAGGGTGACACAGTGACACAGACAGAAGGAGCTATGAGTCTGTCCCTCCCCCTGCAGGGTGACATGGTGACACAGACAGAAGGAGCTATGAGTCTGTCCCTCCCCCTGCAGGGTGACACAGTGACACAGACAGAAGGAGCTATGAGTCTGTCCCTCCCCCTGCAGGGTGACACAGTGACACAGACAGAAGGACCTCTGAGTCTGCCCCTCCCCCTGCAGGGTGACACAGTGACACAGACAGAAGGAGCTATGAGTCTGTCCCCTCCCCCACCCCCCACTGCAGGGTGACAGAAACAGGAGATATGCAGTTGTTCCTCCTTTTCATGGTGTTATAGACAGGAAGTGAGTAATTGAAAACATGCAATGTCACATTAACGGCCTATCCAGCTTACCAAAGCTCAGACATCATGCATGGGGATCTGAACACAGGCCGGATTCGTATGGTTCTTTTAGTTCCAGTATCAATATTTGTGTCAGAGAACTCTTGGAGATCTAGAAGGTACCTGAACACTGGGCTACTGCACATGACTTGTTTGTGTCCCTTAGTCAAACATTCCTCTATACATTTCGAAATCTCCTAGAGATGAAAACATATGGGGGTTTAATCTTTGCATATCAAGAAAACATCCTGTTCACTAAATTTGATAAACATAAAGGAAAGCGATGGGGGGCGAAGGACCCTCTATTTATTAATGCATTACATAGAAATATACTTACCATAAACGTTCCCTGCAGGTGCACTGTTAAGTGTATCTCCCTGAAGCTACAGAATAAGACACTCCTTAACTTCCAATCAGTAAGCATTCAAAGGATGAGTATTTTATCCCCCAAGAGCACATCCATTCACCAATAAGAATGAATGAACTTACTCTCTACACTTCCGTGAAAGTAAAAAATACAGTAAAAATACATTTTATAAATACTGGTTTGCCCTGTTTCCTGGGTATCGACTGGTTGATTCTTTCAGCTCTGGTGACACACTCAAATATTCTGCAGAAACCGATTCAGTCACCATTCATTGGAGTCCAGGTCCAGGTACTCCGATGTCTTAAGAACATGTAGAACACTGCTCTAATAAAGGTGCCTGAACCCTTTTTCTAATACTGGTATTTATTATCTTCTGGGCTTGTGCTGGCCCTTGGTTCAGCTAAGCACCCTGTCGTAAGTGAATTGAGTGCAGTTCCATTTGTCCATTTTTACCAGTCATTGGAGTGTCAGCTGACCAATCTTATCCAGTATATGACACACTGTGCACAGAAATATACACAGAATTGACATGACCCAGCCTGGAACTCACTCTTACTGGCTGGCTAGTGACACTGCCTGAAGTGAAGTTAATCCTCTGGCAGCAAAGGGGTTAAACTCTGTATGTGCAGTGGTTTATAGTAAAATGCAGCACGTATAGACTTAAAACACCACGACCACTTCAGATCATCGAAGTGTTCATAGTGCTTGGAGTAGCCCTTTAAAAACTATTTTATCAATTCAACGGTTTCTTGCTATACCAATTCTTCTCCCAGGACGTTATCGTGGACTTTTCTATTAATTATCTTAACTCGAAGGTCCCACAAATCAAAACTTTTTTTTGCAGGGTATATAAAGATCCACACCTGACTATATTCCGTCCACCGGCAATGATTTCCATAGTAATACTTGACACGGGTGTTAAAAGGCATGGTAGGACACAAAGAGGTGGAGAGACGTCGAATGCGATAAAACGGCCCCTTTGATTTCACATCCATGGTGTTAAAACATATATTCATAGGTGGCTGGCCCCTGAGAGTTAGAATTTGGAAAATAAACAGTGGAAACAGAAGGGTTAAGAGTTAAAGCAGGGATATCCAAAATTCAGACTGGACAAACCACATTATAACCCTGTTAAAGGAACGCTGTCATCAAATTTTAGTCTCTAATATAATCTTCATAGCATGTTGATATACAATCTCATTATTTTCTTTAATGCATTTTTATTGAAATGTCTAAAGAAATCCCTTGCCTACTTTTTTGAACTCCAGTTGACTGACAGTCAGATTGTTAGCTCTCTGACCCAATGCTCACTATTTTGCAACTGTGTTATTTGCCTTCTCTCGCCATGTTCGGATGTCTTTGTGTATTACACTAGTGGGTTCCACCTTGCTCGCACAGCTCTGAAATCCAATTAGCCCTGAGCATGAAATGAAGCCATCGTGCTGGCTTCAATTCCAATGTTTCAATATCAGAATGGAGTGACATCAGTCACTAAATTCATGTATTTCCCCAGCAAGTTTAATGAAGGGCAGAGGGTTCTCCTGCTATTCCCTGTCAATCAACTTTCTAAACAGACAACTGTACTGTTGACAAATAGGTCTTATGACCACATTTTTTAAAGTACTTTTAATTAAAAACTACATATTTGCGGCACTTGATAAAACACTTTCCCCTTTCATTGGAACTTAACCCCCCCTGCATTCCATCACTGGGTAATGAGATACTGAAACCATCCTACTTGCAATTTTGCATAGACCATTTCAGTATGCCAAAAGTAAAAAGATGGAATGACCCATTTCTGAATTTAATATTTAAGCAGTAAAAGAAGAAAAAAGTAGATTTACTGCCCTTTCAAGACCTTAGTCCAGGTCGCGAACACAAGGGGCAAATAAGATAAGACACGGGGCATGAGAAATAGATCGTGATAGCCGAAAGCCCGAGCTTAAATGACAAGTATTGACTGGAGAATACAACACCCCTTGCATACATACTCAGACTTTGAGCAAACCCTTTTTATATTCGGGTCACAATACAGCCTCTCTAGGATTTCTTGACCCCATCCTCCAACAGTGTGCCACGTGCCTGTGCTCCTTTCCTGCAGCTGCCAGGCGAAAGGCAGTATGGTATGATGCTGAAGGCACTTTGCACCTTTATCACAATTCCCAGCTAGAAAATCTGAGCAGATATCTATGCCATCCCCTTGATGGATGTGATACATGAGATTCTCCTGCTCGCCCCAAGATGTCAACGGCACATCAGTCACGGTCCCATCTTTTGTCTTGTGAACTTCCGTAAATTCCAGTTTCTTCAGGTAATTCTCTTCCTCTGTTGGCTCTTGGACGGTGAGGTAGCTGGAATATTTGCGCTTCCTGGTGACAGACAGAACTGTTCTTCTGGAAGGAAGCTGAGCTCTCAGATACATTGTGACAGTTAAACAGAGTCTGCAAAACCATGGGAAGAAAAATAATAAATTGAAACAATAAAGTTACAATAAAGACAGAGGTTAAATTAACCATCCAAACAACTACAGCACTTTAGCTTGATTAACTGCTTTATGCATAAAGAGCATGTCCATTTTCTTTAGAAATTGACACTTTTGCAAATTCACCTGGTTATACCACCCTGGCTGTCAATCACATAACTGGTCCTGTTACGGTGGACCTAAACTCAAAAGGCAGCAATTGCTCAGAGAACCTGTCTTGCAAAGGCTTCTCATTAAGCTGCATTGGAAAGTCTGTGATTGGACAGCCACAGAAAGTCTGGGCTGGGGAAAATGAGGAAAGCTTGCAAAGGCTGCAGACAAGAGATCTGCAACTTTTGTAAGCTGTTTTTGGGTAATGTATGCATGTTTTCACTGGGGGTATAACTGTTAAACAGTGATTATTTCAAAAATATTTACCGTATTTTTTATTTGGGCAGCAAAGTGTCCATTTAGGATGCCGATTGATACATTAAGGCACAGCCAAGAATTTTATTTACCTACTGATTTATCTGTATTTCCTTAGCAAAATGAGGGACTGAGGATATTTGACAAGGGATTTACTAATTTTAGGCAAAAATATTTGACCTGGAAAAATACCTGCGCTGTAGAATGATTTGTTCAGCCTGTTTTCTATGCCGTAGTTATTAGGGATATTACGATTTCTCTTCGATCCCAGTGCCACTTAAAAGCCACTTTGACAAGGCTGCCACATGTTTAAAAATGATAACTGCACATTTATTAAATATTACAGTGTTAGTGTGCCCCCTCTCCCATTGTAAGGAATTAAACTGTTTTAAAACTTTTATCTTTTTACATGGGGCCTGAGGGAAACTTCAGAGAGCTCCCCCTCACCCCTGAGCTCAGGCCTACCTTGTTCCCACCAGGGAACACAAAATGCCCTACGCCCAAACCCAATGTTCTGGATAGTGGGTAATATAATGTATTTTTAATATATTAGGCATATTATACATAAACAGGGGCCAGTCAGTCCACAGTGGCAAACGCAGGAGTAAGGTATAGAGCCAATAGGTTCCCAGCCCCTTTAGAACATATACTGCCACCCTCCACCAAACGTACAGTGCCCTGTTAGTGCCGACCTTGTTGTACATTTACATTTCTAGGAGAGTGTTCAGCCACCATGGCACAATTAGTGACCACTCTCATCTGGCAAAGTGGTGGCAGTCTCCGTAGTACTAACACTAGTACTACAGAGGCATTGCATGAATAGTGACCGCTCAGAAATAGTAACAAGGAGGGTCTAGTAGTCAATACCGCTGAAACTATGTATTTATATTAGAGGATGCTTACTGTCATGGCAAAATAGTGAAGATGCCAAGGCCCTTGCTGTTTAGACTACACGTGGCAACTATTAATATACTTGTTTTTGTACATGTTATTTATTTTTACTTGTAAAAACATTAGATTAGGGATGACAACCGCCTTCTTTCCTATATACATCTAGGCATAAGGGTGGCAATGGCAGTGTTTGGCACCTTTTATCAGTTTACCAGGTAGTTGCAAAGGTATTGTGTCCCTCTAATCCAGCACACAGGGAGGGAGAGCACATTGTTCCCCCCTAATCCAGCACACAGGGAGCGAGGACACTTTGTGCCCCCCTAATCCAGCACACAGGGAGCGAGAGCACATTGTTCCCCCCTAATCCAGCACACAGGGAGTAAGGACACATTGTACCCCTCTAATCCAGCACACAGGAAGTGAGGACATATTGTGCCCCCCTAATCCAGCACACAGGGAGTGAGGACACATTGTGCCCCCCTAATCTAGCACACAGAGAGTGAGGACCCATGTGCCCCTCTAATCCAGCACACAGGGAGTGAGGACACATTGTGCCCCCCTAATCTAGCACACAGAGAGTGAGGACCCATGTGCCCCTCTAATCCAGCACACAGGGAGCGAGGACACATTGTGCCCCCCTAATCCAGCACACAGGGAGTGAGAGCACATTGTTCCCCCCTAATCCAGCACACAGGGAGTGAGGACACATTGTGCCCCACTAATCCAGCACACAGGGAGTGAGGACACATTGTGTCCCTCTAATCCAGCACACAGGGAGAGAGAGCACATTGTTCCCCCCCTAATCCAGCACACAGGGAGCGAGGACACTTTGTACCCCCCCCTAATCCAGCACACAGGGAGCGAGAGCACATTGTTCCCCCCTAATCCAGCACACAGGGAGTAAGGACACATTGTACCCCTCTAATCCAGCACACAGGAAGTGAGGACACATTGTGCCCCCCTAATCTAGCACACAGGGAGTGAGGACACATTGTTCCCCCCTAATCCAGCACACAGGGAGTGAGGGCACATTGTTCCCCCCTAATCCAGCACACAGGGAGTAAGGACACATTGTACCCCTCTAATCCAGCACACAGGAAGTGAGGACACATTGTGCCCCCCTAATCTAGCACACAGGGAGTGAGGACACATTGTGCCCCCCTAATCCAGCACACAGGGAGTGAGGGCACATTGTTCCCCCCTAATCCAGCACACAGGGAGTGAGGACACATTGTGCCCCTCATTTCCAGCACACAAGGAGTGATGGCACATTGTGCCTCCCTAATCCAGCACACAGGGAGTGAGGGCACATTGTTCCCCCCTAATCTGGCACACAGGGAGTGAGGACACATTGTGCCCCCCTAATCCAGCACACAGGGAGTGAGGACACATTGTGCCCCCCTAATCCAGCACACAGGGAGTGAGGACACATTGTGCCCCCCTAATCCAGCACACAGGGAGTGAGGGCACATTGTTCCCCCCTAATCTGGCACACAGGGAGTGAGGACACATTGTGCCCCCCTAATCCAGCACACAGGGAGTGAGGACACATTGTGCCCCCCTAATCCAGCACACAGGGAGTGAGGACACATTGTGCCCCCCTAATCCAGCACACAGGGAGAGAGGACACATTGTGCCCCCCTAATTGAGCACACAGGGAGTGAGGACACATTGTGCCCCCTAATACAGCACACAGGGAGTGAGGACACACTGTGCCCCCCTAATACAGCACACAGGGAGTGAGGACACATTGTGCCCACCTAATTCAGCACACAGGGAGTGAGGACACATTGTTCCCCCCTAATCCAGCACACAGGGAGTGAGGACACTTTGTGCCCCCCTAATCCAGCACACAGGGAGTGAGAGCACATTGTTCCCCCCTAATCCAGCACACAGGGAGTAAGGACACATTGTACCCCTCTAATCCAGCACACAGGAAGTGAGGACATATTGTGCCCCCCTAATCCAGCACACAGGGAGTGAGGACACATTGTGTCCCTCTAATCCAGCACACAGGGAGGGAGAGCACATTGTTCCCCCCTAATCCAGCACACAGGGAGTGAGGACACATTGTGCCCCACTAATCCAGCACACAGGGAGTGAGGACACATTGTGCCCCCCTAATCTAGCACACAGAGAGTGAGGACCCATGTGCCCCTCTAATCCAGCACACAGGGAGTGAGGACACATTGTGCCCCCCTAATCTAGCACACAGAGAGTGAGGACCCACGTGCCCCTCTAATCCAGCACACAGGGAGCGATGACACATTGTGCACCCCTAATCCAGCACACAGGGAGCGAGAGCACATTGTTCCCCCCTAATCCAGCACACAGGGAGTGAGGACACATTGTGCCCCTCATTTCCAGCACACAAGGAGTGATGGCACATTGTGCCCCCCTCTAATCCAGCACACAGGGAGTGAGGACACATTGTGCCCCCCTAATCCAGCACACAGGGAGTGAGGGCACATTGTTCCCCCCTAATCCGGCACACAGGGAGTGAGGACACATTGTGCCCCCCTAATCCAGCACACAGGGAGTGAGGACACATTGTGCCCCCCTAATCCAGCACACAGGGGTGAGGACACATTGTGCCCCCCTAATCCAGCACACAGGGAGAGAGAAACATTGTGCCCCCCTAATTGAGCACACAGGGAGTGAGGACACATTGTGCCCCCTAATACAGCACACAGGGAGTGAGGACACACTGTGCCCCCCTAATACAGCACACAGGGAGTGAGGACACATTGTGCCCACCTAATTCAGCACACAGGGAGTGAGGACACATTGTTCCCCCCTAATCCAGCACACAGGGAGCGAGGACACTTTGTGCCCCCCTAATCCAGCACACAGGGAGTGAGAGCACATTGTTCCCCCCTAATCCAGCACACAGGGAGTAAGGACACATTGTACCCCTCTAATCCAGCACACAGGAAGTGAGGACATATTGTGCCCCCCTAATCCAGCACACAGGGAGTGAGGACACATTGTGTCCCTCTAATCCAGCACACAGGGAGGGAGAGCACATTGTGCCCCCTAATACAGCACACAGGGAGTGAGGACACATTGTGCCCCACTAATCCAGCACACAGGGAGTGAGGACACATTGTGTCCCTCTAATCCAGCACACAGGGAGGGAGAGCACATTGTTCCCCCCCTAATCCAGCACACAGGGAGCGAGGACACTTTGTGCCCCCCCTAATCCAGCACACAGGGAGCGAGAGCACATTGTTCCCCCATAATCCAGCACACAGGGAGTAAGGACACATTGTACCCCTCTAATCCAGCACACAGGAAGTGAGGACATATTGTGCCCCCCTAATCCAGCACACAGGGAGTGAGGACACATTGTGCCCCCCTAATCTAGCACACAGAGAGTGAGGACCCATGTGCCCCTCTAATCCAGCACACAGGGAGTGAGGACACATTGTGCCCCCCTAATCTAGCACACAGAGAGTGAGGACCCACGTGCCCCTCTAATCCAGCACACAGGGAGCGATGACACATTGTGCACCCCTAATCCAGCACACAGGGAGCGAGAGCACATTGTTCCCCCCTAATCCAGCACACAGGGAGTGAGGACACATTGTGCCCCGCTAATCCAGCACACAGGAAGTGAGGACACATTGTGCCCCCCTAATCTAGCACACAGGGAGTGAGGACACATTGTGTTCCCCTAATCCAGCACACAGGGAGTGAGGGCACATTGTTCCCCCCTAATCCAGCACACAGGGAGTGAGGACACATTGTGCCCCTCATTTCCAGCACACAAGGAGTGATGGCACATTGTGCCCCCATCTAATCCAGCACACAGGGAGTGAGGACACATTGTGCCTCCCTAATCCAGCACACAGGGAGTGAGGGCACATTGTTCCCCCCTAATCTGGCACACAGGGAGTGAGGACATATTGTGCCCCCCTAATCCAGCACACAGGGAGTGAGGACACATTGTGCCCCCCTAATCTAGCACACAGGGAGTGAGGACACATTGTGCCCCCCTAATCCAGCACACAGGGAGTGAGGGCACATTGTTCCCCCCTAATCCAGCACACAGGGAGTGAGGACACATTGTGCCCCTCATTTCCAGCACACAAGGAGTGATGGCACATTGTGCCCCCCTCTAATCCAGCACACAGGGAGTGAGGACACATTGTGCCTCCCTAATCCAGCACACAGGGAGTGAGGGCACATTGTTCCCCCCTAATCCGGCACACAGGGAGTGAGGACACATTGTGCCCCCCTAATCCAGCACACAAGGAGTGAGGACACATTGTGCCCCCCTAATCCAGCACACAGGGAGTGAGGACACATTGTGCCCCCCTAATCCAGCACACAGGGAGAGAGGACACATTGTGCCCCCCTAATTGAGCACACAGGGAGTGAGGACACATTGTGCCCCCTAATACAGCACACAGGGAGTGAGGACACACTGTGCCCCCCTAATACAGCACACCAGGGGTGAGGGACACATTGTGCCCACCTAATTCAGCACACAGGGGTGAGGACACCCCCTAATCCAGCACACAGGGCGGGACACTTTGTACCCCTGGTAACACACAGGGAGGCGAGAGCACATTGTTCCCCCACATTGTGCCCCCCTAATCCAGCACACAGGGAGTGAGGACACATTGTGCCCCCCTAATCCAGCACACAGGGAGTGAGGGCACATTGTTCCCCCCTAATCTGGCACACAGGGAGTGAGGACACATTGTGCCCCCCTAATCCAGCACACAGGGAGTGAGGACACATTGTGCCCCCCTAATCCAGCACACAGGGAGTGAGGGCACATTGTTCCCCCCTTATCCAGCACACAGGGAGTGAGGACACATTGTGCCCCTCATTTCCAGCACACAAGGAGTGATGGCACATTGTGCCCCCCTCTAATCCAGCACACAGGGTGTGAGGACACATTGTGCCTCCCTAATCCAGCACACAGGGAGTGAGGGCACATCGTTCCCCCCTAATCTGGCACACAGGGAGTGAGGACACATTGTGCCCCCCTAATCCAGCACACAGGGAGTGAGGACACATTGTGCCCCCCTAATCTAGCACACAGGGAGTGAGGACACATTGTGTTCCCCTAATCCAGCACACAGGGAGTGAGGGCACATTGTTCCCCCCTAATCCAGCACACAGGGAGTGAGGACACATTGTGCCCCTCATTTCCAGCACACAAGGAGTGATGGCACATTGTGCCCCCCTCTAATCCAGCACACAGGGTGTGAGGACACATTGTGCCTCCCTAATCCAGCACACAGGGAGTGAGGGCACATTGTTCCCCCCTAATCTGGCACACAGGGAGTGAGGACACATTGTGCCCCCCTAATCCAGCACACAGGGAGTGAGGACACATTGTGCCCCCCTAATCCAGCACACAGGGAGTGAGGACACATTGTGCCCCCCTAATCCAGCACACAGGGAGTGAGGGCACATTGTTCCCCCCTAATCCGGCACACAGGGAGTGAGGACACATTGTGCCCCCCTAATCCAGCACACAGGGAGTGAGGACACATTGTGCCCCCCTAATCCAGCACACAGGGAGTGAGGACACATTGTGCCCCCCTAATCCAGCACACAGGGAGAGAGGAAACATTGTGCCCCCCTAATTGAGCACACAGGGAGTGAGGACACATTGTGCCCCCTAATACAGCACACAGGGAGTGAGGACACACTGTGCCCCCCTAATACAGCACACAGGGAGTGAGGACACATTGTGCCCACCTAATTCAGCACACAGGGAGTGAGGACACATTGTTCCCCCCTAATCCAGCACACAGGGAGCGAGGACACTTTGTGCCCCCCTAATCCAGCACACAGGGAGTGAGAGCACATTGTTCCCCCCTAATCCAGCACACAGGGAGTAAGGACACATTGTACCCCCCTAATCCAGCACACAGGAAGTGAGGACATATTGTGCCCCCCTAATCCAGCACACAGGGAGTGAGGACACATTGTGTCCCTCTAATCCAGCACACAGGGAGGGAGAGCACATTGTGCCCCCTAATACAGCACACAGGGAGTGAGGACACATTGTGCCCCACTAATCCAGCACACAGGGAGTGAGGACACATTGTGTCCCTCTAATCCAGCACACAGGGAGGGAGAGCACATTGTTCCCCCCCTAATCCAGCACACAGGGAGCGAGGACACTTTGTGCCCCCCCTAATCCAGCACACAGGGAGCGAGAGCACATTGTTCCCCCATAATCCAGCACACAGGGAGTAAGGACACATTGTACCCCTCTAATCCAGCACACAGGAAGTGAGGACATATTGTGCCCCCCTAATCCAGCACACAGGGAGTGAGGACACATTGTGCCCCCCTAATCTAGCACACAGAGAGTGAGGACCCATGTGCCCCTCTAATCCAGCACACAGGGAGTGAGGACACATTGTGCCCCCCTAATCTAGCACACAGAGAGTGAGGACCCACGTGCCCCTCTAATCCAGCACACAGGGAGCGATGACACATTGTGCACCCCTAATCCAGCACACAGGGAGCGAGAGCACATTGTTCCCCCCTAATCCAGCACACAGGGAGTGAGGACACATTGTGCCCCGCTAATCCAGCACACAGGAAGTGAGGACACATTGTGCCCCCCTAATCTAGCACACAGGGAGTGAGGACACATTGTGTTCCCCTAATCCAGCACACAGGGAGTGAGGGCACATTGTTCCCCCCTAATCCAGCACACAGGGAGTGAGGACACATTGTGCCCCTCATTTCCAGCACACAGGGAGTGATGGCACATTGTGCCCCCCTCTAATCCAGCACACAGGGAGTGAGGACACATTGTGCCTCCCTAATCCAGCACACAGGGAGTGAGGGCACATTGTTCCCCCCTAATCTGGCACACAGGGAGTGAGGACATATTGTGCCCCCCTAATCCAGCACACAGGGAGTGAGGACACATTGTGCCCCCCTAATCTAGCACACAGGGAGTGAGGACACATTGTGCCCCCCTAATCCAGCACACAGGGAGTGAGGGCACATTGTTCCCCCCTAATCCAGCACACAGGGAGTGAGGACACATTGTGCCCCTCATTTCCAGCACACAAGGAGTGATGGCACATTGTGCCCCCCTCTAATCCAGCACACAGGGAGTGAGGACACATTGTGCCTCCCTAATCCAGCACACAGGGAGTGAGGGCACATTGTTCCCCCCTAATCCGGCACACAGGGAGTGAGGACACATTGTGCCCCCCTAATCCAGCACACAAGGAGTGAGGACACATTGTGCCCCCCTAATCCAGCACACAGGGAGTGAGGACACATTGTGCCCCCCTAATCCAGCACACAGGGAGAGAGGACACATTGTGCCCCCCTAATTGAGCACACAGGGAGTGAGGACACATTGTGCCCCCTAATACAGCACACAGGGAGTGAGGACACACTGTGCCCCCCTAATACAGCACACAGGGAGTGAGGACACATTGTGCCCACCTAATTCAGCACACAGGGAGTGAGGACACATTGTTCCCCCCTAATCCAGCACACAGGGAGTGAGGACACTTTGTGCCCCCCTAATCCAGCACACAGGGAGTGAGAGCACATTGTTCCCCCCTAATCCAGCACACAGGGAGTAAGGACACATTGTACCCCTCTAATCCAGCACACAGGAAGTGAGGACATATTGTGCCCCCCTAATCCAGCACACAGGGAGTGAGGACACATTGTGTCCCTCTAATCCAGCACACAGGGAGGGAGAGCACATTGTTCCCCCCTAATCCAGCACACAGGGAGTGAGGACACATTGTGCCCCACTAATCCAGCACACAGGGAGTGAGGACACATTGTGCCCCTCCCTGAGGGAAATCCAACACACACAGGGGAGGGAGAGGCACATTGTTGTTCCCCCTGAAACCAGCACACAGGGGAGGCGAGGATACTTTGTGCCCCCCTAATCCAGCACGAGGGCGAGAGGCATTTGTTCCCCCTAATCCAGCACACAGGGGTAAGGACACATTGTGCCCCTAATCCAGCACACAGGGAGTGAGGACACATTGTGCCCCCCTAATCTAGCACACAGAGAGTGAGGACCCATGTGCCCCTCTAATCCAGCACACAGGGAGTGAGGACACATTGTGCCCCCCTAATCTAGCACACAGAGAGTGAGGACCCACGTGCTCCTCTAATCCAGCACACAGGGAGCGAGGACACATTGTGCACCCCTAATCCAGCACACAGGGAGCGAGAGCACATTGTTCCCCCCTAATCCAGCACACAGGGAGTGAGGACACATTGTGCCCCGCTAATCCAGCACACAGGAAGTGAGGACACATTGTGCCCCCCTAATCTAGCACACAGGGAGTGAGGACACATTGTGTTCCCCTAATCCAGCACACAGGGAGTGAGGGCACATTGTTCCCCCCTAATCCAGCACACAGGGAGTGAGGACACATTGTGCCCCTCATTTCCAGCACACAAGGAGTGATGGCACATTGTGCCCCCCTCTAATCCAGCACACAGGGAGTGAGGACTCATTGTGCCTCCCTAATCCAGCACACAGGGAGTGAGGGCACATTGTTCCCCCCTAATCTGGCACACAGGGAGTGAGGACACATTGTGCCCCCCTAATCCAGCACACAGGGAGTGAGGACACATTGTGCCCCCCTAATCCAGCACACAGGGAGAGAGGACACATTGTGCCCCCCTAATTGAGCACACAGGGAGTGAGGACACATTGTGCCCCCTAATACAGCACACAGGGAGTGAGGACACACTGTGCCCCCCTAATACAGCACACAGGGAGTGAGGACACATTGTGCCCACCTAATTCAGCACACAGGGAGTGAGGACACATTGTTCCCCCCTAATCCAGCACACAGGGAGCGAGGACACTTTGTGCCCCCCTAATCCAGCACACAGGGAGCGAGAGCACATTGTTCCCCCCTAATCCAGCACACAGGGAGTAAGGACACATTGTACCCCTCTAATCCAGCACACAGGAAGTGAGGACATATTGTGCCCCCCTAATCCAGCACACAGGGAGTGAGGACACATTGTGCCCCCCTAATCCAGCACACAGGGAGGGAGAGCACATTGTTCCCCCCTAATCCAGCACACAGGGAGTGAGGACACATTGTGCCCCACTAATCCAGCACACAGGGAGTGAGGACACATTGTGTCCCTCTAATCCAGCACACAGGGGTGGGGACACGTGTGCCCCCTAATTCAGCACACAGGGAGTGAGGACACATTGTGCCCCCTTAATTCAGCACACAGGGAGTGAGGACACATTGTGCCCCCCTAATTCAGCACACAGGGAGTGAGGACACATTGTGCCCCCCTAATTCAGCACACAGGGAGTGAGGACACATTGTGCCCCCCTAATTCAGCACACAGGGAGTGAGGACACATTGTGCCCACCTAATTCGGCACACAGGGAGTGAGGACACATTGTGCCCCATTAATTCGGCACACAGGGAGTGAGGACACATTGTGCCCCGCCTAATTCAGCACACAGGGAGTGAGGACACATTGTGCCCCCTTAATTCAGCACACAGGGAGTGAGGACACATTGTGCCCCCCTAATTCAGCACACAGGGAGTGAGGGCACATTGTGCCCACCTAATTCAGCACACAGGGAGTGAGGACACATTGTGCCCCATTAATTCGGCACACAGGGAGTGAGGACACATTGTGCCCCGCCTAATTCAGCACACAGGGAGTGAGGACACATTGTGCCCCCTTAATTCAGCACACAGGGAGTGAGGACACATTGTGCCCCCCTAATTCAGCACACAGGGAGTGAGGACACATTGTGCCCCCCTAATTCAGCACACAGGGGGAGTGAGGGCACATTGTGCCCACCCCAATCTCAAGCACACAGGAGTGAGGACACATTGTGCCCCATTAATTCGGCACACAGGGATGAGGGACACATTGTGCCCCGCCAATTCAAAGCACACAGGGAGTGAGGACACATTGTGCCCCACCAAAGCACAGTGTAGGCATGTACCAGCTCCCCTAATTCAGCACACAGGAGTGAGGACACATTGTGCCCCTCATTTCCAGCACACAAGGAGTGATGGCACATTGTGCCCCCCTCTAATCCAGCACACAGGGAGTGAGGACTCATTGTGCCTCCCTAATCCAGCACACAGGGAGTGAGGACACATTGTTCCCCCCTAATCTGGCACACAGGGAGTGAGGACACATTGTGCCCCCCTAATCCAGCACACAGGGAGTGAGGACACATTGTGCCCCCCTAATCCAGCACACAGGGAGAGAGGACACATTGTGCCCCCCTAATTGAGCACACAGGGAGTGAGGACACATTGTGCCCCCTAATACAGCACACAGGGAGTGAGGACACACTGTGCCCCCCTAATACAGCACACAGGGAGTGAGGACACATTGTGCCCCATTAATTCGGCACACAGGGAGTGAGGACACATTGTGCCCCGCCTAATTCAGCACACAGGGAGTGAGGACACATTGTGCCCCCTTAATTCAGCACACAGGGAGTGAGGACACATTGTGCCCCCCTAATTCAGCACACAGGGAGTGAGGACACATTGTGCCCCCCTAATTCAGCACACAGGGAGTGAGGACACATTGTGCCCCCCTAATTCAGCACACAGGGAGTGAGGACACATTGTGCCCCCCTAATCTAGCACACAGAGAGTGAGGACACTAACCTAATTAGTTTTAATCCTATAACTGCCATAGGGTAGAAGATGAGGCTCTGGAAGCAGAGACAGGTAGAATGAGCCAGGAAAGGAGAGACACAAAATAAAGCAGGAAGGACATACAGATACAGACAGACAGACAGACACAGAATACAACCAGAGAGACAGACAGAAAAACTGGACAGGGAAATAGAGAAACAAGGCAGAGAGAGACCACCTCCAAGAGACACAGAGACCACCTCCAAGAGAGCCATAACCAGTTGAGAGAAAGAGACCTGCAGGAGAGTGACCCCCAGGAGGGGAGACAGACACCTCCAGGAGACACACACACACAGGAGAATCCTCCAGAAAGACATCCCAAGAGACAGACAAACATTCACAGGCCTGAGACCTGCAAGGCAGAGAGAGTACCCGTCAAGAGAGAGAAACCTGCAGCAGACAGTGCTGTCACAGCTTTGCTCCTGCCCGCCCTGGCGGTAAATGGTCTCACCGCATGTGACACCCTCCTATTATAGCTCGCACTGCATTGTGGGTGATAGAAGGCGGAGACCATGTGCTCAGTAAGAGAATGCAAGGAGGTGTGAATCATGCGTGTTACCCCCCTCCACCACCACTGTCTGCATGTTACCCCCCCACTGCATGTTACCCCACCACTGTCTGCATGTTACCCCACCACTGTCTGCATGTTACCCCACCACTGTCTGCATGTACCCCCCCACTGCATGTTACCCCACCACTGTCTGCATGTTACCCCACCACTGTCTGCATGTTACCCCCCCACTGCATGTTACCCCACCATTGTCTGCATGTTACCCCACCACTGTCTGCATATTTACCCCCACACTCCCACCACTGTCTGCATATTTACCCCCACACTCCCACCGCACAATGTGCATGTTACCCCCCCCTCACCACCACTGTCTGCATGTACCCCCCCCACTGCGTATTTACCCCACCACTGTCATGTACCCCCCACTGCATGTTACCCCACCACTGTCTGCATGTTACCCCCACCACTGTCTGCATGTTACCCCACCACTGTCTGCATGTACCCCCCCCACTGCATGTTACCCACCACTGTCTGCATGTTACCCCACCACTGTCTGCATGTTACCCCACCACTGTCTGCATATTTACCCCCCCACCACTGTCTGCATGTTACCCCACACTCCACCACTGTCTGCATGTTACCCCCCCAACCACTGCGTATTTACCCCACCACTGTCTGCATGTTACCCCCGCCACTGTCTCTTGCACGTAATTTACCCCACCACTGTCCTGCATGTTACCCCCACCACTGCATGTTGCCCCACCACCAAAGTATTTACCCCCCACCACTGCGTATTTACCCCCACCACTGTCTGCATGTTACCCCACCACTGCATGTTACCCCCCCCCACCACTGTCTGCATGTAACCCCAGCTGCATGTTACCCCCCACCACTGTCTGCAGCATGTTACCCCCACTGCATTTTACCCCCCACACTGTATGTTACCCGCCACCACTGTCTGCATATTACCCTCACGTATTTACCCCCACCGCACATATTACCCCACCACTGCCTGCATGTTACCCCCACCACTGCATGTTACCCCCACTACTGTCTGCATGCTACCCCCACTACTGTCTGCATGTTACCCCCACCACTGCATGTTACCCCCACCACTGTCTGCATGTTACCCCCACCACTGCATGTTACCCCCCACCACTGCATGTTACCCCCACCACTGCATGTTACCTCACCACCACTGCATGTTACCCCATATACCCCTACATGTTTTCACACACCTCTTATAGCCGGCCATACTGCTCCCACATACCCCATAACACCCCACTATATAAACCTCACACACCTCTTATAGCCGGCCATACTGCTCCCACATACCCCATAACACCCCACTATATAAATCTCACACACCTCTTATAGCCGGCCATACTGCTCCCACATACCCCATAACACCCCACTATATAAACCTCACACACCTCTTATAGCCGGCCATACTGCTCCCACATACCCCATAACACCCCACTATATAAATCTCACACACCTCTTATAGCCGGCCATACTGCTCCCACATACCCCATAACACCCCACTATATAAACCTCACACACCTCTTATAGCCGGCCATACTGCTCCCACATACCCCATAACACCCCACTATATAAATCTCACACACCTCTTATAACCGGCTATACTGCTCCCACATACCCCATAACACCCCACTATATAAACCTCACACCCTGTAGCGCCCCTTAGCCACCGCAGCTTGGCTGGGGTCTCGCCGTCCCTTCCCACCCTGGGCCAACACCTGGATCCAGCTCCCAGTGGGAAGACCTCTCCTCCAAGAGAGTATCGCAGCATAGCCAGTTAAAGAGCAAGTATAGCTGTTTCCCCCCACACATGAGCCGAGGTTTAATGCTGGGAAGTAAGACTGTTTAATGCAGGGCCACACACAGCCTTTTATGACAAAGCCCATGCAAGGGGATTCTTACACAAAACAACAGGGTAATCCCTCCCCTGTACCTGAGAGATGATTGAGTCAGGCACTGTACAAACTCAATTATCTCCAGGCACAGAAAACACATTTTACAGACACACCAAAAGTAACACCAAAACACATGAAAACCCCACAAAAGTCACATCCCCTGATAGCCCCGATCTGGGTGACCAACATATCCAAAAATCATCCAGATCGGTTCAGGGGTTCTGGGTTTCCATGGAAGTCCTGTTTCTGACCGACCGCACATGTGGCTTAAGCCCAAATAGTTCCATGAATCAGCTAGCGGTAAAATAAAAACGAATAAAATTCCGAACATAATCCATAATTGCAATGTGTAGCTTGTTCACCTCAACCATGCGAACGATTCAACCAACAGTGCCCTTCCAGGTTGTGTAGAAACGAACACAGGCAATGATGGTTCGGGGGTATTCTGGAGTTTCAGTGTCCGATTTTAGTTCCATGAGCTCGATGCCCAAACACCGCTGCCTGCGTTCGCGGGACCAAGACGCCACCCAGATGAACAATTAGAATACTGCGGTGGAAATTGCTACAAAGTGTCAATTGGGTGTAACAAGCACGGCGGTGGTTCCTGGTTCATACGGTTGTTCGGTTTCCGAACAGTATAGGGGAAATACATGGACTAAGCCTTTTATAAGCATTTTCGCATGGCCCATAGTCCTGAGGCAGGAGGCTGGCAAGCAGGGTCCTCCAGGAGCCTGTGGCGAGATTATGTTCGCCACACTTACACTGCGCCATACACTTACACTGGGCCTTATACATACACATACACTTACAGTGGGCCTTACACATACACTTACACTGCGCCTTACACTTATTTATTTATTTATAAAATATTTTACCACTGGGCCTTACATATACACTTACACTGCGCCTTACACTTGCACTGCGCCCTTACACATACACTTACACTACGTCTTACACTAACATAGTTACATAGCTGAAAAGAGACTTCCGTCCATCAAGTTCAGCCTTCCTCAACAAGCTAGGAAAAAAATTCTTTCTTGACCCCAGAATGGCAGTCAGATTTATCCTTGGATCAAGCAGTTATTACCCTACATTGAAAGATTATATCATTGAATATTCTGTTTTTGCAAGTATGCATCTACTAGCTGTTTGAACATCTGTATGGACTCTGATAAAACCACTGTAACGGAGCTCCAGTACTCGGACCGAGGGACTCTGAAACACTTCAGACCCAGACGCCGAGACTTGACTGGGATCACTTAGGGCCTTTTCCACCCTGGACCAAACACCAGACGACACATAGTGAAGGTTAAACAGCAACTCTTTAATGCATACAGCACACATAACTAAGCCCCCAACAGCCTCATTTACATACAATAGGTTACATAGATTACTATAGTACAAGGAAGGGTGGGGTCAGACAATAGCAAGGCCTGATGGGAGATTGAGGAGGGACAGAGCAGCTAGATTAAACTGGTCTGGCAGTGTCCCTGGGACAACGCCCTACTGGGGAAACAATGGGACAGGAAAAAGGGGGAGGGGGAGATGCACAGACCAGCAATACATTTAACATACCCTGCACAAATAATAGCCACAATGTGACAACACAAAAGGAATTTGGGAGCCCACCCATTATGTCTGTCTTCCATCCCCAGTGATGGTGACTACCATCACAACCATTTCTTCAGGCAGATAATTCCACATCCTTATTGTTCTTACAGTAAAAAAACCTTTCCTTTGCCTTAGACAAAATCTTCTTTCTTCCAGTCTAAACGCATGACCTCGTGTCCTATGTAAAGTCTGGTTTGTGAATAGATTTCCACACAATGGTTTGTACTGGCCCTGAATATATTTGTATAATGTTAACATATCCCCTTTCAGGCGACGTTTTTCTAAACTAAATAGGTTTTACATTTGTTAACCTTTCTTCATAGCTAATATGTTCCATTCCTTTTATCAATTTTGTAGCCCGCCTCTGCACTTTTTCTAGTGCCATAATATCCTTCTTTAGAACAGGTGCCCAAAATTGCACAGCGTATTCAATATGTGGTCTTACCAGTGATTTATAAAGAGGCAAAATTATATTCTCGTCCCGAGAATGCCCTTTTTCATGCATGACAATACCTTACTGGCCTTGGCCACTGCTGATTGACATTGCATATTGTTGCATAGTTTGTTGTCTATAACAATTCTCAAGTCCTTTTCGTGTGTTGTTATCCCTAATTCGCTTCCATTAAAGGTATACGTTGCTTATGTATTCTTTATGCCGAAGTGCATAACTTTGCATTTTTCAACATTAAATTTAATCTGCCATTTGAGTGCCCAGTCCCCCAGTCTATCTAAATCCCTCTGCTCACATTGTATTATTTTACAGTTTTGTGTCATCTGCAAACACTGAAACATTTTTAAGCCAATGTTCTACCCAAGAACAAGCATTTTCATCTACACCGATTTCCTTGAGTTTGAACACTAATCTATTGTGTGGAACTGTATCAAATGCCTTGGCAAAATCCAAATAGATCACATCCACTGTAACACCCTGATCTATACTTCTACTTACTTCTTCGTAGAACGCAATCAAGTTAGTTTGACATGACCTGTGCTTCATAAAACCATGCTGATTTATGCTGATAACCATGTTCTTCTCAAGGAATTCTTGAATAGTATTCCTTAATAACCTTTCAAATATTTTCCCAGCCACAGAAGTCAAGCTCACAGGTCTATAATTTCCAGGCAAGGATTTTGAACCCTTTTTGAATATAGGATCTGCCTTCCTCCAATCCTCCGGAACACTTCCTGAAAGAAAAGAATCTTGAAAGATTAAAAACAGAGGTTCACTTATTTCTACACTTAGTTCCTTAAGTACTCGTGGATGGATACCGTCAGGCCCTGGAGCTTTGTTTATATTAACTTTCTTTAGTTGCTGCAGCACCTTGTCTTGAGTTAACCAATTACAATTATTCTGCACGTTTTTAGTAGCAATCATTTGCACATCTATTGCCATGGGTTCTTCCTTAATATATACAGAGGAGAAATAGTTATTTAAAATTCCTGCCTTTTCCTGGTCTTCATTAACTAACACCCCCGTTTCAGTTTTTAATGTACCTACACTTTCATTTTTGGGTTTTTTAGAATTTATGTACTTAAAAAATACTTTGGGGTTGGTTTTGCTCTCTTTAGCTATCATTTTTTCATTTTTAAGTTTAGCAAATCTAATTGCCTTTTTGCTCGATTATTTGCTTCCTTATATCTTTTATAAGATGCTTCTGATTTGTCTGATTTAAATGCTTTAAATGCCCTTTTCTTATTTTTAATCTCTTGTTTTACTTCTCTGCCGGGGGTCTGCTATTCGTAATTGTTCACCACTCATTCTATTGATTATATCCTCTCAAGGTTTCTACTATCATTTTCTATTTATACCTCGGTGGGGGCCCACACCGAGGCAAGGTACTTTTTGTATTTATTTATATATTAGTTTTTTTTTTTTATTTACATTGTAGGCATTTGATCCATCAGATACTTTGTTTTATACATTGTGTCTATGGTGGTTTTATTTACCTATTTTTGTATCTATATTTGTTAGGCCGTATTTGCCTTCCTTTGAATTACTCCCTGTTACTCAGTGCAGTCATGTTTTTATTTATGATTTAATTTATTTACACATATATACAAGTTTTATACTAATAAATATATATTTTTATTTATTTTTTATAGGTTTCTTTATTTTATTATATTTAGGAGCGCACATACCGTTTTGACCTATGAGCTCACACTCATTCTTAGTCGCTTGTGGATGTATGTAGCTGCCCATATCTTATTTTAATTTATGTTATACATTACACCATTTTTCATCAGTTTTACTTCTCTACTAAGCCACATTGGTTTTAATTTGTTTCTTTTATATTTATTTCCCAATGGTACATACTGAGAAATGTGCCTTTCTAATATTTGTTGGAAGATGATCCATTTATCCTCAGTGTTCTTTTCACTAAAGAGTTTATGCCAGTCAATATATTGTAAAGCTGCCCTTAACTTATTGAAAATGGCCTTTTTAAAATTATATGTTTTAGTATTCCCCATGTGCTTTTGATTTTTTTAGTTTATTTCAAAGGACACTATATTGTGATCACTATTTCCCAAGTGCTCACCTACATGAATGTTGGTCAAAAGATCAACGTTGTTTGATAAAACCAGGTCCAGACAAGTGTCCATTCTAGTTGGTGCTTGTACAAGTTGTGACATGAAGGTGTAATTTAACAAGTTTAAATACCTAATTCCCTTTGCTGAGCTACTAGTCTCTCTGTCCCGATTTATGTCCGGGTAATTAAAATCTCCAATAATTAAAGTGTTACCCAGATTTGAAGCTTTCTCAATTTGCTCAAACAGCTGTTGTTCCTCGTCAATATTAACATTAGATGGTTTATAACATATCTCAACCAATAGTTGGTTTCCCTTCTTTTCCCCCAAGCAGATATTTACACATAAAGCTTCCACATTTTCCTCATTGCATTCCCTTTGCTTAACATTTGGCTTTAAATCATGGTTGACATACAAACATACCCCACCACCCTTCTTGTTTTTCCTATCCTTCCTAAATAACATGTACCCATTTAAGTTAACTGCCCAGTCATGTGTCTCATCCCACCATGTTTCAGTTATGCCTATTATATCATATTGTTTAGTGGATGCTACTGCCTTTATTTCCCCAATTTTATTGTTTAGGCTCCTTGCATTAGTAAGCATACATTTAATATAATGAGTCATTTGTACTTTTTGTGAATTATCACTGGGCCTTACACATACACTGCGCCTTACACATACACTTACACTGCGCCTTACACATACAGTTTAGTTGGTGAGACTGAAAAAATCCAAAAACACAAATGTGAGAAATTCAAAGTGAATTTCGAAGTTTATGCTGAAATATGCACATGGGAAACAAATGACTTGGAAATTTTGATAATCAGAAGATCATCAGTCTTGGTGATGTCCGCTAATCCAGTGCTTTCCCATAGCATAGAATTTGCGGCAAAATGCAGAGCTGCGCCAGTCAGCATCTCCTCATAGGGATGCATTACATCTGTGCTTCAGTATGGGGAACATTCACCTCCATGCAGAGCGTGGAGACGCTGGACACCAGTGCTGCACAGTGTGCAGTGCTGAACTTGGAAGCACCTCTAGGGGCCGTCTGAGTGACTACCAATAGAGGTGATACAAGCCAGCAATGTAAATACTGCCTTTCCTCTGAAACAAACAGTGTTTATACCGTGCAAACACTGCAAGGACAGGCTATAAACACCAAAACTACCACATTAGGCTTTTCTGGTGACTGTAGTGTCCCCTTAGTGTACATGTCAATGGGGCACACAGCCTGTCCTTGCAGCTTGAGCAGTGTAAACCCTGACTGAGAAAATGCCACGGGTACCTTATTTGTCTGAATTTGATTGGTGTATATGAGCTACTTGCACCAGTTCTATAGGATTCATTGAAAGGGTTAAATCCACAACATATAAAATATTTACTTATCCCACTCCTCCTCTGAGATTTTCCTTCCGAGACAAAAAAAACTAATTATAACAAACAGAATTACTGGCTCTGGTTATATTGAGTGTTACCTTAGCTCTGAGGATACAGTTTCTCCGGAGGTTCCGGCATATTTGCAGATATTTATAAAGGTCTCTTTTAAGGTTCCTCGCATCCAGATCACTCCCACCCTGACGGCTTTAATTCATTTATTTGGGAAATGTGAATTTATCCAGACATGAGTAATAGAAATCCTATAGTCCAGCACTATTACTGTTAACCTGTAATGCGATGTTTAAAGGATAGGAACAAACCACACCTTTTGGGGAATCCCTGAATGCAAATTCCCCACAGACACATGAGTCACTGTGGATGTGTTAGGGGTGTATGACAAAAATACTTAGCTAACTTTCAGTTTTCGTTTGAAGCAGGAAGAGAAAGAAATCGTGAGTTACCGAACCGGGGATCTATTTATATCTTTTCTGTTTAGAGTTTAGACCCCCTTTCTCCCTCTCCCCCTTTTCAGATTCTCCCTCTTATGTCCTTAGAACCTCACTTTAACAAGCCCTGTGTCATTGTCACCGTGCAGTGACCTCCACGGGCACCCTCCTCATTCTCCTGAGTCACTCGTGCTTTTTACAGCTGGTTATGGGTTCCGGCTAGTTCAGCTTGTGCCCATTTTTCAGATTATTCAGTACAATTACCCCTATCTGATACACTATGAGGACGCCCATTCAGAATATTGCAATAATAATGATGGCTTTAAAATGCATTACTGCAACAATTCTAACAGTGCTGACTTAGATGTTTCCAGTGGTTAGTATACTTGGCGTTAGGGGTATGTAGGCCTAGCGAATACTTAGGGTCAGAAGGTTTTTATGACTAGCCCGAGGAATGCCTAGGCTGTTGTTGGGGTCAGGGTTTACACAGCAATAGATTATGGGTTACTTAAGGTTAAGGGAATCTAAATTTAATAAACAGAAATTTAATAAACAGAACATTGTGGATATTCACAAGGTTTAGGGGGCGGATTTCTGTCCCCCTTAGCGCAGTAGTGATACAGTCCCTTTCGCACCATGCACTAGTATTTATATTCCATGGTATCACTAATTTCAGAAGAAAAATCTAAAATAATAGGCAGATCACGTACCGAACTTATTTACTCAGATTGCGGAATATGGTATCTTGACATATAGACATGTGATTACGTAAGGATTTATCATAAGGGGCAGGCTGGGGTCATCCAATCACAGCTTGCCCCATTAGCAATTTCATCCCAAGTGTGTTCCCCATTTCTCTGATTAGTGTGGATCTGCCTCCCTCTCTTCACTTGTGTTTTAGTGAGAGAGGGAGAGAGATCTGTGGTTTAGCTAGAGAGATTTAGGTATTTATAGGTAGGGATTTGTAAAATCTTGAGACCTAAAGGCTCTTTTCAGAGCCATTAACCCCTGTCTTGCCAGTGATCACTATAATCACTGGCTCTTGCACAGCAGCACTTATTTTGCTGTCTGTTCATTTTTTTAGGGGTTCATTTTTTTTTCTTTTTTTTTTCTGACAGGTCACTAAGTAAAGTGATTGTGATCATGTCACATGGGTCACGGAAGTCAACCAGCGCTGAGCAGTCATATGCCACCCTTGCGCTAGAGTCTGACGCGTCTATGTCAGACTCTGACCCTGATTTTGACCCTGCCAGGTGCTCAGGTACATCATCACTAGATACAGTGTCTGCTGCTAGTGATGTATCTAGTGATGTTGTATCTGTGCCTGCTAGTCCACCTGCCAGAAGGAGACATGCTGCTCCAGCTGGCAGAACTGCTGAGGAGTGGGTAGTGCCTCATTGCCAGAGGCCAGATATCCCATCCTTTACTGCAAATCCTGGCATAAATTTGGATGTCACAGGATTTAGCCCTCAGCAGTTTATGGAGGTGTTTCTGGGCGATGATGTATTGGGGAACATTGTTGCCCAAACTAATTTATATGCCCATCAATTCCGAGCTACAAATCCTGACTCTTTTTTGGCAAAGCAGCAATGGGCCCCCATCGATGTGCTAGAATTTAAAAGATTCTGGGCATTGACTATGCTGATGGGCATCATAAAGAAGCCCTCCATCCGCTCCTACTGGAGCAGTAGCCCCATCTGCTCTACCCCCATTTACTCCCAATGTATGTCCAGGAAGAGGTATGAAATGATTCTGCATTTCATGCACTTCAGCAACAACAGCCTGTCCCCCCCTAGGGAGCATGCCCAGTTTGACAGGCTGTATAAAACCCGCCCCCTGATTACCCACTTCGCTGCCAGGTTTGCAGAGGCTTACACCCATGGAAGGAATATATGCGTGGATGAATCCCTGATGAAATATAAGGGAAGGCTGGGATTCAAGCAGTATGTTCCTTCCAAGCGCTCTAGGTATGGTGTAAAGATGTATAAGCTCTGTGATAGCGAGACTGGGTATACTCAGGCCTTCTGGGTGTATGAGGGAAAGGATAGCCACCTTGACCCTCCAGGTTGCCCAGATTGTCTGGGACCTGATATTCCCCCTGATGAACAAAGGGTACCACTTGTATACTGACAATTTTTATACGTGTCCCTTTGTTCAAGCTACTGTACTGTTTTGATACAGTAGCTTGCGGCACAATTAAAAAGAACAGCACAGGTTTCCCAGGACAACTTGCACGCACCCGGCTACGAAGGGGGGAGACCTCAGCTCTGCGCCAAGAGGAGCTGTTGGCAGCTAAGTACAGAGACAAGAAGGATGTGTACCTTCTTACCAGCATCCACACAGGGAGGACTGTGGAGGTCCCTGTACATGGCAGAGCTGAGAGGTCAAGGAAGCCAGTGTGCATCAAGGCCTATAACCGGCATATGGGTGGAGTTGATCTGGCAGACCAGCTGCTGCAGCCCTACCTAATTATACGAAAGACAAGGGCCTAGTACAAAAAGGTTGCAATCTACCTAATGCAGATTGCAACCCACAATGCTTTCTTATTGTTCGAAAAAGCAAACCCTGGGACGCAACTGAGAATTTTACAGTTTCAGCTCCAGATCATTTCGGGGATTTTGTACCATGATGCACCTGCTCCCCGGGTGGTGATGGGAGAGAGCAGATTTGGGGCTACACATTTTATTTTTAAAATTCCTCCTACTGCGGCAAAGCAGAATCCCCAGAAAAGATGCAGGGTCTGTTCTAAGAGGGGTGCAGAGATAAGATGTGTATATCACTGTCCTGATTGCTCTGGACAGCCTTGACTCTGCATTGGAGACTGCTTCAAACGATACCACACGCTGGTCCATTTTTAATTTATTTTTTAACATTTGCCGTTCAGTTTTTTTTGGTGTCTTTTTTCTTTCTTGTTTTTTGGTTTTGTTACATTTACCCCATGCATGGGGGGCATGGGTGTCCTTAGGAGGCCTTGCAGAAAACAACCTGGGGTGTTTTCTTGCAATAACCAACAACGGGCTCTCCTAAATCACAGTCAAAAAGCAGTGTGCGTGTGTAAAAATGAGGATTGAACAGTTACCTCCACACACGTTCTTCAACTTTTTTATTTTTTGTCTGGCTAAAAAAAAGTTGCATCAAAGCACTCCACATGCAATACCTCGGGGTATCTATGTTTCAAGTATGTACCCTTTCATGGCGATATATAAAACTGGGGTATGTGATTAGCCCCAAGCTAAAGATAGGCCTATCAGAAGAAATACTCTAAATTTCAACTCAAATTGCAAGTCATATAATTTTAACCATACTTTCCCAAAATCCTGGCAAACCTATGCATGGGGGGCATGGGTGTCCTAAGGAGGCCTTGCAGAAAACAACCTGGGGTGTTTTCTTGCAATAACCAACAACGGGCTCTCGTAAATCACAGTCAAAAAGCAGTGTGTGTGTAAAAATGGGGATTGGACAGTTACCTCCACACTCGTTCTTCAACTTTTTTTGACTAAAACGATTGCATCTAAGGCATCAAAACACTCCACATACAATACTGCGGGGTGTCAACTTTTCAAATATATGCACGCTCATGGCAAGAAAATACATTGGGATATCTGATAAGGCCCCCAAAAGGAAGATAGGCAAACAAGATATGTACAATTTGAAAAATGCCTTTCAGACATTTTGCTTTGCACCCCCCAGAGAACTCGACACACCTACGCATGGGTAGTATCGCTGTACTCAGGAGATGTTGCCGAGCACATATAGGGGTGTCCTTTGGCAGTAACACCTAACAGGAGCTGAGAATCTATGCCCAAAGTAGAATGTGTGAGTGAAAAATAACACCACAAAAACGTTTGACAGAGACTGGTGGTAGAATTAGTGCATGTAAAGTGTTGAAATGCCACCATGTGAAATGCCCTAGGGTGTGTACTTTTCAAAAACATATGGTTTGATGGGGGTGAATTACATTGGGCCGGCTTCAGAAATGTTCCAACTGGGACATGGGTGCATGACGGCCAGCTGTGTTTTATTTTTCCATTTTTCATCATATTTTACTTTTTTTTCTAGTAAATTATATGATATGATGAAAATAATGGTATCTTTAGAATGAACATTTAATAGCGAGAAATAGCGAGAAAAATGTTATATAATATGTATGGGTACAGTAAATGTGTAAGAGGCAAATTACATCTAAACACAACCACTGCAGAAATGTAAAAAGAGCCCTGGTCCGTAACGGTAATAAAATTGAAAAATGGCCTGGTCACTAAGGGGTTAAAGGGACGCTCTAAGCACCAAATCAACTTTAGCTTAATGAAGCCATTTTGGTGTATAGACCATGCCCAGTGGTGTATCCTGGTTTTGTGCTGCCCTAGACCCCCACCCAACCCTTCCCCCCCGCCCCACCTTCTAAATACACACACACACAGTCAGACACACACAAACACACACACACAGAAACACACACACACAGTCAGACACATACACAAACACACAGTCAGACACAGACACAAACACAGTCAGACACAAACACACACACACAGTCAGACACAAGCACACACAGTCAGACACAAACACACAGTCAGACAAACACACACACACAGTCAGACACAAACACACACACAGTCAGACACAAACACACACACACAGTCAGACACATACACAGACACAAACACACACACCTCAGTCACAAACACACACACAGTCAGACACAAACACACACACAGTCAGACACAAACACACACACACACAGTCAGACACAAACACACAGACACAGTCAGACACAAACACACACCTCAGTCACAAACACACACACAGTCAGACACAAATACACACACAGACACAAACACACACACACAGACACAAACACACACACACAGTCAGACACAAACACACACACACAGTCAGACACAAACACACACACAGTCAGACACACACACACACAATCACTCACATTAACTTTTTTTTTTAACCCCCCCCCCAGCCTCCTTACCTTTGGGAGTGTTGGGGGAGGTGTCTCTCTCTCCCTGGTGGTCCAGTGGCTGCCGGTCGGGCTGATGGGCTGGCTGCTGGGCGGGCGGCTGGCGAGGGAGCACTTCCTCTGAGCTCTCTGCTCAGCTCCCTCGCGCGCCGCAGAGTGAGGCTGGGAGCCGGAATATGACGTCATCTTCCAGCTCCCAGCCTCACTCTGCGGCGCGCAAGGGAGCTGAGCAGACCGCTCAGCGGAAGTGCTCCCTCGCCAGCCGCATGCCAGCGTCGCCCGCCCGCTCGGCATGTCTGTTAGCCGCGAGGCTAACAAGACATTTGCCCTGGGCATTTGGGGGCGGCGTTTTTTGCCGCCCCCTGAAAAATGCCGCCCAAGGCAAATGCCTTGTTTGCCTCGCGGCTAATACGCCCCTGACTATGCCCCTGCAGTCTCACTGCTCAATTCTCTGCCATTTAGGAGTTAACACTTTTGTTTTTTTATTTATTTAGCCCTAGTCACACATTCCCTGACTGTGACTCACACGGCCTACATGAAAACAAAATGGTTTCACTTTCAATAAGAACAAGTGTTCACTTTACAAGTTATCTCCTGTTCTCGTATTCCAGGTTTAAAGGGTTACTCTAACCCAGGTGCATGAAGAGCACAGCCATCCCACCACAGCAGCAAACAGTGGCCACCAAGAAAAGGATCCACTCCGACCCTCCCAGAGCAAGGTAGGGAGGCAGGGTGGATCTCTTAATTACTAAATGTGTGCATATCATATGAATGTGATTTTTGTTTGTATGCCAGTAATAATGTGTGTCTGATTGTATGTGTGTGGGTCTCATAGCTCCCTAATTTGGTATTCTTAAATATAGTAGTCCCACATAAGGATAACAAATAAGGGAGTTATCTACTAAGCAAATGCAAAATATAAAAATTAAGAAAAGGGGTTTTGAAGTTTTATTATATAAATTATATTATATATTTTTTGTGTGGCCCAAGACAATTCCTCTAAACTCAGTGTGGCCCGGGGAAGGCAAAAGGTTGGACAGCAAATGCTCTAACCCTTCTTACATATATATATATATATATATTTTAACTAGTAATGCCCTATTGGCCTTTATTCTTTCCTCTGGGTCCCCCAGAAAAAGACTTTAACGTGAAGTTGAACTAACCTAAAATTCAGCGCCCCATCCGAATGTCAATTAGCAGTGGCGTGGCCCAACCAAAGGATTCTGGTAGAGAAACTGACTCAGAGTACATGTGCGTGCTCTGAGCTGACGAGGGGACACAGGAAAAGAGGGAACTTTAAATATAACTAATGAAATAGTGAGGCGGGAGGGCTGCAGTAAAGCAGAAAGACACAAGCTTCAGAATACGTCTGACGCCCACGTGCAGTGCTCGCTGACAACAGACATAAAATATGCACTGAATTAACATTTGCCAGATTTCCATGTGCTGGGGGTGTAACTAGTCCAAATATCTCTGTGTGTGCACTATTTTAAGCAGAAACACTGCACACCCAGACTCCTACCACCATGACTACTTCAAAAAAGCAGAACCAGACACAGGAAGCTCATGCAGAAGCTGGCAGGCTATTAACAGATTAGGAGGTAATATATATCTGAGTGTGTGTCTGTCAGTCAAAGTGTGTGTTAGTCGTTTAACATGAAGAGGTGTGGCATTGACAGTAAGGGGTGGGGCAAATGTAAATTAGGGGGTGCCCAAGTTCCGTCATGCCTACGGCAGCACAGATACTAAATACATCACTGATTGGGGTATGGCTGTAAGGGGGCAGTATGGCTGTAGGGTTGGATAATATGTATTGGGGTATGGCTGTAAGGGGGCAGTATGGCTGTAGGGTTGGATAATATGTATTGGGGTATGGCTGTAAGGGGGCAGTATGGCTGTAGGGTTTGATAATATGTAGTGGGGTATGGCTGTAAGGGTGGATAATATGTAGTGGGGTATGGCTGCAAGGGGGCAGTATGGCTGTATGGTTGGATAATATGTATTGGGGTATGGCTGTAAGGGGGCAGTATGGCTGTAGGGTTGGATAATATGTATTGGGGTATGGCTGTAAGGGGGCAGTATGGCTGTAGGGTTGGATAATATGTATTGTGGTATGGCTGTAAGGGGGCAGTATGGCTGTAGGGTTGGATAATATGTATTGTGGTATGGCTGTATGGCTGTATGGATGGCTGTAGAGTTAGATAATATGTATTGGGGTATGGCTGTAAGGGGGCTGTATGGCTGTAGGGTTGGATAATATGTATTGGGGTATGGCTGTAAGGGGGCAGTATGGCTGTAGAGTTGGATAATATGTAGTGGGGTATGGCTGTTAGGGGGCAGTATGGCTGTAGGGTTGGATAATATGTATTGTGGTATGGCTGTAAGGGGGCAGTATGGCTGTAGGGTTGGATAAAATGTATTGGGGTATGGCTGTAAGGGGGCTGTATGGCTGTACGGTTGGATTATATGTATTGGGGTATGGTTGTAAGGGGGCAGTATGGCTGTAGGGTTTGATAATATGTAGTATGGCTGTAAGTGGGCAGTATGGCTGTAGGGTTGGATATGTATTGTGGTATGGCTGTAAGGGGGCAGTATGGCTGTAGGGTTGGATAATATGTATTGGGGTATGGCTGTAAGGGAGCAATATGGCTGTAGGGTTGGATAATATGTATTGGGGTATGGCTGTAAGGGGGCTGTGTGGCTGTATGGGTGGATAATATGTAGTGGGGTATGGCTGTAAGGGGGCTGTGTGGCTGTAGGGTTGGATAATATTAGTGTAAGGGGGCTGTGTGGCTGTAGGGTTGGATAAAATGTATTGGGGTATGGCTGTAAGGGGGCTGTATGGCTGTACGGTTGGATTATATGTATTGGGGTATGGTTGTAAGGGGGCAGTATGGCTGTAGGGTTTGATAATATGTAGTATGGCTGTAAGGGGGCAGTATGGCTGTAGGGTTGGATAATATGTATTGGGGTATGGCTGTAAGGGGGCAGTATGGCTGTAGGGTTGGATAATATGTATTTAGGTACTGGCTGTAGGAGGCAGTGCTGGCTGTAGAGTTGGATAATATGTGGTGGGGTGCTGGCTGTTGGGGGGCGAGGAAGTATGGCTGTAGGGGTTGGATAATATGTTGTTGTGGGCCATGGCTGTAAGGGGGGCAGTATGGCTGTAGGGTTGGATAAAATGTATTGGGGTAGCATGTAACATAAGAGGGGCTGTATAGCGAAAACATGCGGTTGGATTATATGTATTGGGGTATGGCTGTAAGGGGGCAGTATGGCTGTAGGGTTGGATAATATGTATTGGGGTATGGCTGTAAGGGAGCAATATGGCTGTAGGGTTGGATAATATGTATTGGGGTATGGCTGTAAGGGGGCTGTGTGTCTGTATGGGTGGATAATATGTAGTGGGGTATGGCTGCAAGGGGGCAGTATGGCTGTATGGTTGGATAATATGTATTGGGGTATGGCTGCAAGGGGGCAGTATGACTGTAGGGTTGGATAATATGTATTTTGGTATGGCTGTAAGGGAGCAGTATGGCTGTAGGGTTGGATAATATGTATTGGGGTATGGCTGTATGGCTGTATGGTTGGATGTATGGTTGGATAATATGTATTGGGGTATGGCTGTATGGCTGTATGGATGGCTGTAGAGTTAGATAATATGTAGTGGGGTATGGCTGTGAGGGGGCAGTATGGCTGTAGGGTTGGATAATATGTATTTTGGTATGGCTGTAAGGGAGCAGTATGGCTGTAGGGTTGGATAATATGTATTTTGGTATGGCTGTAAGGGAGCAGTATGGCTGTAGGGTTGGATAATATGTATTGGGGTATGGCTGTAAGGAGGCAGTATGGCTGTAGGGTTGGATAATATGTATTGTGGTATGGCTGTAAGGGGACAGTATGGCTGAATGGTTGGATAACATGTATTGGGGTATGGCTGTAAGGGGGCAGTATGGCTGTATGGTTGGATAATATGTATTGGGGTATGGCTGTAAGGGGGCAGTATGACTGTAGGGTTGGATAACATGTATTGGGGTATGGCTGTAAGGGAGCAGTATGGCTGTAAGGTTGGATAATATGTAGTGGGGTATGGCTGTAAGGGGGCTGTGTGGCTGTAGGGTTGGATAATATTAGTGTAAGGGGGCTGTGTGGCTGTAGGGTTGGATAAAATGTATTGGGGTATGGCTGTAAGGGGGCTGTATGGCTGTACGGTTGGATTATATGTATTGGGGTATGGTTGTAAGGGGGCAGTATGGCTGTAGGGTTTGATAATATGTAGTATGGCTGTAAGGGGGCAGTATGGCTGTAGGGTTGGATAATATGTATTGGGGTATGGCTGTAAGGGGGCAGTATGGCTGTAGGGTTGGATAAAATGTATTTGGGTATGGCTGTAAGGAGGCAGTATGGCTGTAGGGTTGGATAATATGTAGTGGGGTATGGCTGTTAGGGGGCAGTATGGCTGTAGGGTTGGATAATATGTATTGGGGTATGGCTGTAAGGGGGCAGTATGGCTGTAGGGTTGGATAATATGTAGTGGGGTATGGCTGTAAGGGGGAAGTGTGGCTGTAGGGTTGGATAATATGTATTTTGGTATGGCTGTAAGGGAGCAATATGGCTGTAGGGTTGGATAATATGTATTGGGGTATGGCTGTAAGGGAGCAGTATGGCTGTAGGGTTGGATAATATGTATTGGGGTATGGCTGTATGGATGGATAATATGTAGTGGGGTATGGCTGTATGGCTGTATGATTGGATGTATGGTTGGATAATATGTATTGGGGTATGGCTGTATGGTTGGATGTATGGTTGGATAATATGTATTGGGGTATGGCTGTAAGGAGGCTGTGTGGCTGTAGGGTTGTCTGTAAGGGAGCAGTATGGCTGTAAGGGAGCAGTATGGCTGTAGGGTTGGATAAAATGTATTGGGGTATGGCTGTAAGGGGGCTGTGTGGCTGTAGGGTTGGATAATATGTAGTGGGGTATGGCTGTAAGGGAGCAGTATGGCTGTAGAGTTGGATAACATGTATTGGGGTATGGCTGTAAGGGGGCTGTGTGGCTGTAGGGTTTGATAATATGTATTGGGGTATGGCTGTAAGGGGGCAGTATGGCTGTAGGGTTGGATAATGTGTATTGGGGTTTGTCTCTAAAGGGACAGTGTGTATGTAGGGTTGGATAATATGTATTGGGGTGTGGCTGTAAAGGGACAGTGTGTTTGTAGGGTTGGATAATAATTGGGGTGTTGCTGTAAGGCAGCCCTGTGTATGTAGGGTTGGATAATATGTATTGGGGTATGGCTGTATGGTTGGATGTATGGTTGGATAATATGTATTGGGGTATGGCTGTAAGGGGGCTGTGTGGCTGTAGGGTTGTCTGTAAGGGAGCAGTATGGCTGTAGGGTTGGATAAAATGTATTAGGGTATGGATGTAAGGGGGCTGTGTGGCTGTAGGGTTGGATAATATGTAGTGGGGTATGGCTGTAAGGGAGCAGTATGGCTGTAAGGTTGGCTGTAGGGTTGGATAAAATGTATTGGGGTATGGCTGTAAGGGGGCTGTGTGGCTGTAGGGTTGGATAATATGTAGTGGGGTATGGCTGTAAGGGAGCAGTATGGCTGTAGAGTTGGATAACATGTGTTGGGGTATGGCTGTTAGGGGGCTGTGTGGCTGTAGGGTTTGATAATATGTATTGGGGTATGGCTGTAAGGGGGCAGTATGGCTGTAGGGTTGGATAATATGTAGAAACATAGAAACATAGAAACATAGAATGTGACGGCAGATAAGAACCATTCGGCCCATCTAGTCTGCCCAATTTTCTAAATACTTTCATTAGTCCCTAGTCTTATCTTATAGTTAGGATAGCCTTATGCCTATCCCACGCATGTATTGGGGTTTGGCTCTAAAGGGACAGTGTGTTTGTAGGGTTGGATAATAATTGGGGTGTTGCTGTAAGGCAGCCCTGTGTATGTAGGGTTGGATAATATGTATTGGGGTATGGCTGTAAGGGGGCAGTATGGCTGTAGGGTTTGATAATATATATTATATTGGGGTATGGCTGTAAGGGGGCAGTTTATAATTTAGACTGTAGGGTTGGTTAATATGTATTTAGGCTAAAACCCGAGTTAAATTGAGTTACAGGATTCCCCTTAAGAGAAAAAATAATGTCCTAATCTACATGAGATAAGGAAAAAGGCAAACCTTTATTGAAGCAACAGCACGGGTAATGCTTTCAGGGGGAAGAATAAATCACCCTGACGTGTTTTGTGGTCACCTTGGCACAAAATGCATCAGAAAAATCCCATGGGTGATTTCTTGTCCACAATTTGCCTGTATTCTGAATGATTAGAGGTTATAAACTGAATGTATTTGCTCGAGGCACGATACAATTATTTATTATTCATCTGCATATAATAAAGCAAAATAGGTGCACTTTCTGCCTTGCAAAAGCCCCAACGCATTTTCTGAGCACAAACCATTATGATGCATGCAAAACCCACTTAATTTCTACTACAATTAATCCTTTCAGTGTTGCAGAAAACATACAAAAAAAATTAAAAATCAATTGGACCGCTGTAATTTAATTGACCAATTTGTTTTGTGAATATTTCGAATGGAAAAGTATTAAAACACTTTAATGACTTTGTTTCTGGTAGCATTCCTGTTGATGCTACATATGTTTCCATATTTCTGATGTTTCAGCTAGTGTACAATATTATGATTAATTAGTCTATCATTTTATTTTTGATTTCTAGCCAACCGCCAACTGTGTACACAATGCGAATCCGAAAAAGCAAGCTGGTGGTCGTGAACGAGTTGGAGGCTAATGAGTTGGATCCCACAGCAGAGGAGATAGCCCTCCACAAGCTGGAAGTTGGAGATACATCTAGTACCAACTTAACCACTCAAGGCATCCAAGAACAGGAGACATGTCAGCCATTGGCACCTAGTGCCAAGCTTGAAGAATCAATAATATGCTATGAAATGAATTGCCATCAATATCACTCCCACCAAGAGGAGGGCATACACATCTGCCCAGAATTTCTTTGCGGAAAATGCTTTTTGGGTTGTGGATGTCCACAGCATCACACAGTCCTTCCATTTTCATGGCAATTGTGGGATGTTAACGCGCAAGCATGGTCTAATGTGATATCAAGTGCTCAAGAATCTCTGGAGAGACTGTACTGTGACCCTGAAGTGGTGCATGTGACAGGACTGCACACGTACGTATATGAGAAAGTAGAAGTGGATGGTTGAAAGTAATTTCTAAAATAGATACTTATTCAGTAGAAATAAAAGGCGCATCTAAAAAAAATCTGTATTTCTAACAAGCAGAGTGGGTTTCTTAAAGAGACATTCCACTCCCCAAATACAAGAAAAATACAAATCACCATTTTGTAGATATACCCCAAATCAAAACTTGAATTAATTGAATTATGCATTGGGGATATATCTAAAAACAGCTTGCAAAAGTTACTGATCTCTTGTCCGTAGCTTTTGGAAGCCCTCCCCTTCTATCCCCACCCAGACATTCTGTGGCTGTCCAATCACAGACTTCCCAATGCAGCTTAATGAGAAGTCTTTGTAAGTCAGATGCTCTGGGTAAATTGCTGCCTCTTGAGTTTAACTCCACTGAGCTAAACAAACCAGGAAGTAACAGGACTGGTTGTCTGATTGACAGACTGGGGGATGTAACAAGGTTAATTTATAAAAGTGTCAATTTATATTTAAATCTATACTTTTTGGAAAATGAAAAAAAGAGCACCCACTCTTCACACGTAACTGTAACTACTAATCACATTCGTTGTCTGTTGATGGGGATACGACTTGTTTAATCTATTCTATTTATTTTATTAGCCTTTTAGCAATATGACATAGCTCCTTCTGTCTGTGTCACCGTGTCACCCTGCAGGGGGAGGGACAGACTCATAGCGCCTTCTGTCTGTGTCACCGTGTCACCCTGCAGGGGGAGGGACAGACTCATAGCTCCTTCTGTCTTTGTCACTGTGTCACCCTGCAGGGGGAGGGGCAGACTCACAGCTCCTTCTGTCTGTGTCACTGTGTCACCCTGCAGGAGGAGGGACAGACTCATAGCTCCTTCTGTCTTTGTCACCGTGTTACCCTGCAGGGGGAGGAACAGACTCATAGCTCCTTCTGTCTGTGTCACTGTGTCACCCTGCAGGGGGAGGGACAGACTCATAGCTCCTTCTGTCTGTGTCACTGTGTCACCCTGCAGGGGGAGGGACAGACTCATAGCTCCTTCTGTCTGTGTCACCGTGTCACCCTGCAGGGAGAGGGACAGACTCATAGCTCCTTCTGTCTGTGTCACCGTGTCACCCTGCAGGGGGAGGGACAGACTCATAGCTCCTTCTGTCTGTGTCACCGTGTCACCCTGCAGGGGGAGGGACAGACTCATAGCTCCTTCTGTCTGTGTCACCGTGTCACCCTGCAGGGGGGAGGGACAGACTCATAGCTCCTTCTGTCTGTGTCACCCTGCAGGGGGAGGGACGGACTCATAGCTCCTTCTGTCTGTGTCACCCTGCAGGGGGAGGGACAGACTCATAGCTCCTTCTGTCTGTGTCACCGTGTCACCCTGCAGGGGGAGGGACAGACTCATAGCTCCTGCTGTCTGTGTCACCGTGTCACCCTGCAGGGGGAGGGACAGACTCATAGCTCGTCTGTGTCACTGTGTCACCCTGCAGGGGGAGTGGCAGACTTATAGCTCTTTCTGTCTGTGTCACTGTGTCACCCCGCAGGGGGAGGGACAGACTCATAGCTCCTTCTGTCTGTGTCACTGTGTCACCCTGCAGGGGGAGGGACAGACTCATAGCTCCTTCTGTTTGTGTCACTGTGTCACAATGCAGGGGGAGGGACGGACTCATAGCTCCTTCTGTCTGTGTCACTGTAATAAAAGCAATCAGGAAAGCAATATAAAGTAACCTACATTGTTAATATTGCATACAGTGTTTAATCATTCATACATCTAGCAGAGGCTCGTCCACTAGGGGCAGCGCCCCACCAGGTTTTATATAGAAAAAACTTGGCAGTAGTTTAGGATGACTGAACAATATTGGGGAATAAAGTAGATTAACATACTCCAGGCATTGCCTATGGCTACGTGTGTGTGTCAAAATCAGAAATGTGTCTCTTTCATTTTGTAATATCCTTCAGTTCAGCCCCCCGTGATTTATAGCTGCCTGGAGAAGCATCCTTGAGAGCTACTGGGCATGTCAAGAAAACAGGACAGTTCTGAAATCTGTCCAGTATGTTTTGTACATGCTCTTTAAGAAGGAATTTCAGGGCCCTCCATTGGTTGCTATCTGGGCAGCAGAGGCATGCTATCGGCCTCTCTATAATTGGCACATATCATCAGGGTATGGGGTTACAGTGTCCAAATGAGAGAGAAGAAAAAAGCCATATTGGAAGTAGCACAGGGAGAGCAGCTCTTTATGTAGCCAGAATGCTGCAGAACGCTATGCCCACAGCTCTTTACGTAGCAAGAATGACGCAGAACGCTATGCCAGCAGCTCTTTTCGTAGCCAGAATGCCGCAGAACGCTATGCCCACAGCTCTTTACGTAGTCAGAATGACACAGAACGCTATGCCTGCAGCTCTTTACATAGTCAGAATGCTGCAGGACGCTATGCCCACAGCTCTTTACGTAGCCAGAATGCCGCAGAACGCTATGCCCACAGCTCTTTTCGTAGCCAGAATGCCGCAGAACGCTATGCTCACAGCTCTTTACATAGTCAGAATGACACAGAACGCAATGCCTGCAGCTCTTTACATAGTCAGAATGACAAAGAACGCTATGCCTACAGCTCTTTACGTAGCCAGAATGCAGCAGAACGCCAAATCTACAGCTCTTTACGTAGCCAGAATGCCGCATAACGCCATGCCCACAGCTCTTTACGTAGCCAGAATGCCGCAGAACGCTATATCTACAGCTCTTTACACAGCCAGAATGCTGCAGAACGCTATGCCTGCAGCTCTTTTCGTAGCCAGAATGACGCAGAACACTATGCCCGCAGCTCTTTACATAGTCAGAATGACGCAGAACGCTATGCCTGCCGCTCTTTACATAGTCAGAATGACACAGAACGCTATGCCCACAGCTCTTTACGTAGCCAGAATGCAGCAGAACGCTATGCCCACAGCTCTTTACATAGTCAGAATGACACAGAACGCTATGCCCACAGCTCTTTACGTAGCCAGAATGCCGCAGAACGCTATGCCTACAGCTCTTTACGTAGCCAGAATGACGCAGAACGCTATGCCCACAGCTCTTTACGTAGCAATAATGACGCAGAATGCTATGCCCTCAGCTCTTTTCGTAGCCAGAATGCCGCAGAACGCTATGCCTGCAGCTCTTTACGTAGCCAGAATGCCGCAGAACGCTATGCCCGCATCTCTTTTCGTAGCCAGAATGACGCAGAACATTCCTCCTCTCGAAGTAATGCCATGCGACATTGTAGCGGCAATGTTGATGCAGGACTAACCGTCCAAGAGCACAAAAGTGATGCAGTGCTTTAAGCAGTTGCATCAACCAGTTCAGCATCACAATAATGATGCTGTGTGTTGTTTCAGCTTCAAGAATGACGCAGAACGCTATGCCTGCAGCTCTTTACATAGTCAGAATGACACAGAACGCTATGCCCACAGCTCTTTACGTAGCCAGAATGCAGCAGAACGCTATATCTACAGCTCTTTACGTAGCCAGAATGCCGCATAACGCTATGCCCGCAGCTCTTTTCGTAGCCAGAATGACGCAGAACGCTATGCTCGCAGCTCTTTACATAGTCAGAATGATGCAGAACGCTATGCCTGCAGCTCTTTACATAGTTAGAATGACACAGAACGCTATGCCCACAGCTCTTTACGTAGCCAGAATGCAGCAGAACGCTATGCCCACAGCTCTTTACATAGTCAGAATGACACAGAATGCTATATCTACAGCTCTTTACGTAGCCAGAATGTTGCAGAACGCTATGCCCGCAGCTCTTTTCGTAGCCAGAATGACGCATAACGCTATGCATGCAGCTCTTTACGTAGCCAGAATGCAGCAGAACGCTATGCCCACAGCTCTTTACATAGTCAGAATGACACAGAACGCTATGCCCACAGCTCTTTACGTAGCCAGAATGACGCAGAACGCTATGCCCACAGCTCTTTACGTAGCCAGAATGCCGCAGAACGCTATGCCCACAGCTCTTTACGTAGCCAGAATGACGCAGAACGCTATGCCCACAGCTCTTTACGTAGCAAGAATGACGCAGAACGCTATGACCACAGCTCTTTACATAGTCAGAATGACACAGAACGCTATGCCCACAGCTCTTTACGTAGCCAGAATGCCGCAGAACGCTATGCCCACAGCTCTTTACGTAGCCAGAATGCAGCAGAACGCTATGCCCACAGCTCTTTACATAGTCAGAATGACACAGAACGCTATGCCCACAGATCTTTACGTAGCCAGAATGCCGCAGAACGCTATGCCCACAGCTCTTTACGTAGCCAGAATGACACAGAACGATATGCCCGCAGCTCTTTATGTAGCCAGAAAGCCGCAGAACGCTATGCCCACAGCTCTTTACGTAGCAAGAATGACACAGAACGCTATGCCCACAGCTCTTTACGTAGCCCGAATGACGCAGTACGCTATGCCCACAGCTCTTTACGTAGCCCGAATGATGCAGAAAGCTATGCCCGCAGCTCTTTACGTAGCCAGAATGACGCAGAATGCTATGCCCACAGCTCTTTACGTAGCCAGAATGACGCAGAATGCTATGCCCACAGCTCTTTACGTAGCCCGAATGACGCAGAACGCTATGCCAGCAGCTCTTTACATAGTCAGAATGATGCAGAACGCTATGCCCGCAGCTCTTTACGTAGCCCGAATGACGCAGAACGCTATGCCAGCAGCTCTTTACATAGTCAGAATGCCGCAGAATGCTATGCCCGCAGCTCTTTATGTAGCCAGAATGACGCAGAATGCTATGCCTGCAGCTCCAGAATGACGCAGACACAGGGTCATTTCAGCATCCGACGCCTTTCAGTGTTAAACATTCCTACACTTTCCTTACATCCCTATGGTTACCTAACACTATTGACCCTGTCATTGCCACCATACATATATTCCTCAGAGCTTCTTGCCTGGGGCGTTTAGATGAGTTGGAAGAAACAGAATTCCATCTGCGTAACAGGTTCAGACTAAATGATTCTTATGGACCAGCTATCACACTGATTCACTAAAGCAATAAAACTCATAGTAATGTGCAGTGTGTATGAGAGAATCACAGAGCTCCACAGCAATAAAACTCATAGTAATGTGCAGTGTGTATGAGAGAATCACAGAGCTCCACAGCAATAAAACTCGTAGTAATGTGCAGTGTGTATGAGAGAATCACAGAGCTCCACAGCAATAAAACTCATAGTAATGTGCAGTGTGTATGAGAGAATCACAGAGCTCCACAGCAATAAAACTCGTATTAATGTGCAGTGTGTATGAGAGAATCACAGAGCTCCACAGCAATAAAACTCATAGTAATGTGAAGTGTGTATGAGAGAATCAAAAAGCTCAACAACAATAAAATTAACAGTAATGTGATGTAGCAATGAGTATATCACAGAGCTCCAATAAACCACACACATTTAAACTGGAGCTTAATTGGCTTGACTGATGTTATAATTGTACCCCACAGGATTTTGTGACCTGCATAGAGAATGGTCTAAGGGATCAATGTGAGAGTATTACCTGCTCCTCTTCATTCTTCACGTATAGACTCAATCTTCCTAATATGTTTCAAGAGAATATCCAAACGGGGAACCTTAGAAGGATGAGACAGCGCCCGGTCTTCAAATCACCAGTCATGATAACATCCGAACTCTGGTGAGATCAACTCAAATGGAATGAATGGTCCAACACACAGTAAAAATTGCTTACACCTACCACATATCATACAGTCAAAACATGCACATCACACACAGACGGCACACTTCATGCAATAACACTTACAGCCATTGTGGGCAGACTAGACAGAGGGTCCTGTTGGCAGACTTGGGGATATACTTTGGGTTCCTGGTCTTGAGCTATGTAAGAGTTCTAAAATTTCTGAATGCAGCCCTGAGAGGGACAGACTCATAGCTCCTTCTGTCTGTGTCACTGTGTCACCCTGCAGGGGGAGGGACAGACTCATAGCTCCTTCTGTCTGTGTCACCGTGTCACCCTGCAGGGGGAGGGACAGACTCATAGCTCCTTCTGTCTATGTCACCGTGTCACCCTGCAGGGGGAGGGACAGACTCATAGCTCCTTCTGCCTGTGTCACCGTGTCACCTTGCAGGGGGAGGGACAGACTCATAGCTCCTTCTGCCTGTGTCACCGTGTCACCCTGCAGGGGGAGGGACAGACTCATAGCTCCTTCTGTCTGTGTCACCGTGTCACCCTGCAGGGGGAGGGACAGACTCATAGCTCCTTCTGTGTCACCCTGTGGGGGGAGGGACAGACTCATAGCTCCTTCTGTCTGTGTCACCCTGTGGGGGGAGGGACAGACTCATAGCTCCTTCTGTCTGTGTCACTGTGTCACCCTGCAGGGGGAGGTACAGACTCATAGCTCATTCTGTCTGTGTCACCGTGTCACCCTGCAGGGGGAGGGACAGACTCATAGCTCCTTCTGTCTGTCAATGTATCACCCTGCAGGGGGAGGGACAGACTCATAGCTCCTTCTGTCTGTGTTACTGTGTCACCCTGTAGGGGGAGGGACAGACTCATAGCTCCTTCTGTCTGTGTCACCGTGTCACCCTGCAGGGGGAGGGACAGACTCATAGCTCCTTCTGTCTGCATCACTGTGTCACCCTGCACGGGGAGGGACAGACTCATAGCTCCTTCTGTCTGTGTCACTGTGTCACCCTGCAGGGGGAGGGACAGACTCATAGCTCCTTCTGTCTGCGTCACTGTGTCACCCTGCAGGGGGAGGGACAGACTCATAGCTCCTTCTGTCTGTGTCACCGTGTCACCCTGCAGGGGGAGGGACAGACTCATAGCTCCTTCTGTCTGTGTCACTGTGTCACCCTGCAGGGGGAGGGACAGACTCATAGCTCCTTCTGTCTGTGTCACTGTGTTTACCTGGAATGTGTTTATGATGGGTTAACTTTCATGTCTATGGTTTACTTACATCAATGTTATATTTGTTTTAGGGCTCTAGGCAGTTGGAAATATTTAATTAATTCCAATATTATTCCAACACCTTCTTTGAACAATTCATATCCTCGAACCTGGATCATTACTGATAACTCATTGAGGAATAATAATGAAAATATCTCTCTCACATGTGAAGACAGAGAGTTCCAGCATGTGTACCGCTATTTCCACAAGACGATGCCTGAATCTCAGTATATTATTCTAGACATTTCTAGAGTGCAGAACTACTTTCAATGGGAGAAATATGCCAGGTAAGATTTCATGGGATGGCAAATAGGAGCTACCATAGTGGAGTGGCATAGAATGATAAATAATATCAGCGGAGCTTGGCAAGCTGTTGGGAAGAGAATGTCATATCAATTTGTATCTATACTAAACTTATCTTAAATGTATTGTAGGAAAAAGGCTTTCATGAACCAGCAACTACTTGGAACAGAGAAGAAAAATGTAGAGCGCTATTTTTTTCATGGCACAGACCCTTCTTTTGTTGACGTAATTTCCAGACAAAACTTTGACCCACGTGTTTCTGGTAGAAATGGAACCCTCTATGGCCATGGATGTTACTTTGCCAGAGATGCCAGTTTCTCTCAAAAGTACGCTACTGCAGACAAGAACATGCACCATTTTATGTTTCTGGCAAAGGTGTTGGTAGGACGTGCAGCACTAGGAAAGTCCTCATATCGCCGTCCACCACCAATATGTCCTGAAGACCCAGTCAGCTCACTCTACGACTCTTGTGTCAATAAAACACAAAACCCTGACATCTTTGTTATTTTTGACAATGACCAGTTTTATCCTTATTTTCTCATCAAATATCAGAAAATGCAGGCTGTAGTCCTTCTGGACTAAGGAAGATTTGCACTTTATTTTGTGAATGAAAAGTAGAACAAGAGAATTCATTGTGAGCTTTGATGCCCTCAGTAGACCACAACCAAGGCAGCAACACCAAGAGCTCTGAAGGCTCCGATCCAAAGAAGAAGACACCCAGAAACAGTATGATCGAGTATTTGGTGTTTTTATTTATTGAACTGTAGTGGTGCAGGTTCTGGTTGAAGGTCCAGGAACTGAAGGCTAAATTTGTAGAAAAAGAGAGGATTTTTATCGCTAAGCCCAACATGATCATCTTTTATTACGCTGGTGCCTCTACTATTCTAATAACAAGGAGAACATTTATTTGTAGAAACAATGGTACTTGGGCTAACCGGTAAGATGGTGCAGGAGCTTATGAAACCAATAAAATCCATCTTTAATGCCTGTGATATCTACAAGGACATTTCTCTTTATAAAGAAGACACATTAGGAATATGTTCTCATGAATCATTAGAGCCTGGGTATTAAACTACAAGCCACAAGAAATAGTTCACCATCAACATGGCTGAGATAGTTATTGATAGTCTCTGTGGCCGTGTGGATTTTGTCACCTCTTATTTGCACTTTATTCTTCTCTTTGTATATCATTATGTCATTTTTTTAAACTGTGAAAAAAAAGTTCAATACGTTAGTTTAATGTGTTTCTTGCACAGAAAATAATACTCACACTATATATAATGCAGTAAACTCTGTGCAATAAAATGCCTGTTTGCTGGAACACATGCTACCGCACTCGGATGTTACAAATAGTTATGGTCATTGACACTGAACTGGGACCAGAGGATATTCGTGTTAAATTATTGGCTGTTATTGAAAACGAGGTTTCTGCCATTTTACCTATCTCACTGACCACTATCCTCCAGCCTTGATATGTCCTTAGCGGAGAAGCTATTATCATTTACATCTTACATCCCTAAAAATCTAATGACTGTCCCGTAATTTACTTACTTTTACCTCCAAACATCTTGGATAACTTGTGCACACACCGTACAATAATGCGCTTAAAACAATTAAATAAAAATGGAAGTGGCGCTCACCCCATAGTGTAACGTTAAAAAAATATAACCTCTATAACTACAGAAAACAACGTATGTACTCACAAAAGCTGCAGCATATTGCTTGAGTCTCGGTCCCACAGTTTGATGTGGCATGGGCTTTTTCATACAGTGTTTGATGTAAAAAGGTATGTTTATATTTTGTGAGCATTTATACACATCCCATACACATCACATATTGCTCTGCCCATAGGATTCACACTCCGCCCATAGCATTTACATACTGCTCATATCATTCGAACACTGCTCTGCCCATAGAATTCACATGCTGCCAATAGCATTCACATACTGTCTATTGCATTCACACACTGCTCTGCCCATAGGATTCAAACGTTGCTCATAGACTTCACACACTACTTATTGGATTCACACACTGCCCATAGCATTCACTACTGTCTATTGCATTCACACACTGCTCTGCACATAGGATTCACATGCTGCCCATAGGATTCACACACTACCCATTGGATTGCTGCCCATAGCATTCACATACTGTCTATTGCATTCACACTCTGCCCATAGCATTCACATATTGTGCATTGCATTCACTTACTGTCCATAGCATTCACATACTGCCCATAGGATTCACCCACTGCCATGACGATAGAATTCACAAGCTGCCCATAGCATTCACACACTGCCCATAGCAGTCACATACTATCCATTGCATTCACATACTGCCAATAGCATTTACATACTGCCCATAGCATTTACATACTGCCCATTGCGTACACATACTATCCATTGCATTCACATACTGCCCATTGTATACACATACTATCCATTGCATTCACATACTGCCCATTGCATTCACATACTATCCATTGCATTCACATACTGCCCATTGCATTCACATACTATCCATTGCATTCACATACTATCCATTGCATTCATGTACTGTCCATTGCATTCATGTACTGTCCATTGCATTCACATACTGTCCATTGCATTCACATACTGTCCATTGCATTCACATACTGCCTATTGCATTCACATACTGCCCATTGCATTCACATACTATCCATTGCATTCACATACTGCCCATTGCATTCACATACTGCCCATTGCATTCACATACTGTCCATAAGTCTAATGCTTCTTTAGGTAAATTTATATTTTGAGTCCTGCACCAGTTGAAGCATGATCTGAGCACTGTCCGTTACAGTGTATACCTCCTGAAAGTCGTCTCTTCTGTCTCGTGAGTTTATCCATTAAGGGTTATTATTTGGGGAAACGTTTTTTACGTTAATACAACATATGTTATATCTATTTTCCAGGTTTCCAGAATATTATGTCCAGTGTTTAAGTATACACTTAATAATTGTTTGTGCACCAATTTGTTTTGCTGTTGTTTTAATGTTAACTAATGTATGTAGATGTCAAGCAATGTTGGTTGCTGCATGAAATATCACTTCACTATTTTATTATACTATTACCCTTATATTTATACTGATTACGATTTTTGCACAAAGCATTTAAAAGTTTTAGACTAATTTTCGCCATTGTGAGTCAACTTATTAATTGATATTAAGAGCTTCCACACACTGTTGATAGCATTTACACCAGGATCATTGAATTCACATGCTGCTCGTAGGATACAAACTCTGGTCATACGTCACCCATAGCTTATACACACTGCTCATAACATTCAAACAATGTCCGTAACATTCACACATTTCCCATAGCATTCACATGTTGCCCGTAGCATTCACATGTTGCCCATAACATTCACACAATGCCCGTCGCATTCATACACCATCCATAGGAGAGCTAATAGTTTTCACTAGTTATAAGGTAAAATTTTATTTTAAAATTGAGCTATGGAAAATAGAAATTCACATATATTAGAACATAGGTGCACAAATATAATTAGTGCTCACATGCTGCCCATAAAATTATCAAGATTTTTTTTTTTTTATTGTTTTGTTTTTTAAAGAAATGATCGTAAAAAGAAAAAAAGCAACCTTTAATATTTTATGAGTTTCATAGAAAATAACACTGGATGTACAATTTCTTAAAATATTTTACACCATTTTTAACAAAAGAGACACTTTCAATCCTAATTTTAGGATACACACTTTATTGAAATAGTTTAACAATTCAAAATCATTAAGAAAATATATGTGTAGGACCTTCACTACCCAATGTACTTCATGGAAATAACTCACTCCTAGCCTGGAAAATGTGTTTAAATATTTTAAACAAAAAAAAATATATACAAGAAATGTAAGATCACATTTCAATTCAATGTCTCTAACAGCATACAGTAAATCCCCCCAAGAACGAGACAAGGCTCCGTTTTGAGGGTCAAGCAGTGAACAGTCAGAGCTGCGGGTTTATTGTGCTTATGTACACATTCTTACACATTAGTACCTCCCACAGGGTTTTGGAACACAACCAATAAACACATACAATACACTCAGACACTCCCACACAAAATCCTCCCCTCTGCCTGTGATACAATTACCTTACACAATAGGTTTATGTAATTATAACAAGCAGAGAAATACAGTTTTACCACATTATTCATAACTTGAAAAGTATGCATCACATTCACATAAAACTTACATTTTCAGAATCAAAAAAAGAACTCAAAATACAAACATATGTCAAAATCATCCAAATTGGTCCATTGGTTCAAAAGATAGATCGAAGTCCTTTGTGATCAAATTAAGCATGGGTTTTCTGCCCAAAACCAGTTCCACAGAGTCTTCTATCCTGGAGATAATTGGGAAGTAATCCAATTATCTCAAAGGACAGAGGCAAAACTCCATTGAACACATGGTAGCAAAAGACAATAAAATACATAAAAATATATAACTGTGCAGCTATTGCATAAAACAGGTACATTCAACATATCCTCAGATAGCTTAGATATGAGCGCACATTATTACTGAATGGCGCTCAGATCTCATACATACAGTTCAATTGCCATAGAGCCAAAGTTTTTCACATAGTCTTTCGTTATATGAATGGGCTCCATGGCATAGCTATCTGGGGTATCACTATTCAAATAGGGCAAGTACGGAATGACACGGCTTGCGTCTCTTTGCACGGGAATATCAAGCGTTTCAACATGGGGCCATAGTCTAAAGGCAGCAGGCGGGCAACCAGGCTCCTCCAATGCACAGTGACGAGATTGGTCTCGTCACATCGGCTAACCCAGAACTTCTGGCCAGGTATCTCCAAGGATATTAAACAGTATTGTCAAACTTTTGATACCTGCCAGCGGGTAGGGAAACGAGGAGACCGCTGTAAAGCGAAACTCCATCCCCTCCCAATAATTGAGGAACCATTTAGCAGAGTGGTCGTAGACTTAATAGGACCCTTAGCTAAACAAAGTCCCTCCGGCAAGAAGTACATCTTGACCATAGTGGATTACGCCACTAGATATCACGAGGCGGTGGCGCTGACCAATGTTCATGCATAGACTATAGCAGATGCCCAGATGCAAATTTTCTCATGGGATTTCCCTGGGAGATCATTTCGGATAGGGGCAGCCAATTCACTGCGGAGGTCACCCACCAACTCTGGAAGGTATGTGGGGTTAAACCCATCTTAAATTCAGCCTATCACCCCCAGTCCAACGGTCTCTGTGAACGGTTTAACGGAACTCTTAAAACAGATGATTCATATGTTTATAGACACCCAAAAGGACTGGGAAAGTTTTTTACTGCACCTACTATTTGCGTATAGGGAAATCCCCAAGAGTCCACTGGGTTCTCCCCCTTTGACTTATTGTTCAGGAGGAGGGTGAGGGGTCCCTTAGACCTCATCAGAGAACACTGGGAGGGAGAAGTGAACACTAACGGTACCCCTATTGTCCCATACGTGCTAGAGTTTCAGGAGCACCTGGAGGCATTGACTCAGACTGTACGGACCAAACTCCAGGCGGCCCAACAACGACAGCGCAGATGGTATGATAGGGGAGCCAGGGACCACAGCTTTCAGATAGGGCAGAAGGTGTTAATCCTAAGGCCGGTCCACAATGACAAGCTGCAGGCCTCTTGGCAGGGCCCATACAAGGTGGTAGAACAAATCTGTGATACCACCTATGTAATCGGCCCATGCACTGGAGCAGGCGGCGGACGCATGCTCCACGTAAATATGCTAAAGCCCTACTATGAGCACATAGAACAGGGAGCCTCTATTTGCACCGCTGCCGCAAAGGACCTTGGTAACTTACCTCTGCCAAACCTCTTAGAGAGGGAGGACCAGAACAAGGGCCTGGGAGAGGTACAGTTAGGTGAGCGCCTGAGTCCCCAGGAACAGGCACAAGCTTAAAGTCTAATTAAGGAAAAGGGGGCCACATTCTCTAATCTTAGCCTAGCTACCCACATAGAAACCCCTGGGCAAACCCCTCTATGCCAACCCCCTTACCGCATACCTGAATCCGTAAAGTAGAATATGCGCAAGGAGATTGAGGAAATGTTGCAGTTAGGTGTTATAGAACATTCTGATAGCCCCTGGGCCTCCCCGGTAGTAATGGTGCTGAAGCGGGATGGGACTACCCGCTTCTGTGTAGACTACAGGAGGCTCAATGACAAAACCATATCAGATGCCTATCCTATGCCCCGGATAGACAAGCTCTTTGATAAAATACTTCACTACAATAGATCTTTGTAAGGGGTACTGGCAGATTCCCTTAGCCGAGGACGCCATTCCCAAGTCGGCGTTTGTCACCCCGTTTGGCCTGTACCAGTTTAAGGTCATGCCATTTGGGATGAAAAACGCCCCGGCTACCTTTCAGAGAATGGTGGATCGGCTATTGGATGGGTTTCAGGAGTACGCTTGCGCATACTTAGACGATATAGCTATTTTCAGCCACTCCTGGACTGAACATTTGACCCACATAGGAGCCGTACTAGACTGTATAAGGGAGGCAACCCAGTTGTAATGATATTGATGTTACAAAGTTTTGGAGTCCAGTAGCCAGATCAGCAATGTTTTCTGCCAGAGGTAGCCACTCGTTACCCAGGTGGTTGAGCCCCTGAGCCTTGAGTGGCCTTCTGGTCTTAAGCAGAGATGGGAGACTGGAACAGAAAGATGATAATCGTAGTGAGGCAAGCCGAGGTCAGTGGGAAGGAGAAGCAGCAAAGTCAAAACAGTCCAAATTCAGCAACAGGAAGGAGAAACAGGAACACGCTTGATTAGAGAGTACAGGAACCACAATAATCTGGCAAAGGTACAGAGACAGGAAGTGGCTTTTATAGGCCAAGAACCAGACACCTGACCAGACACAGCTGAAGAGAGTTGTCACTGATAACCTTGACTCTACAAGCAATGGTATAAGATCTCAGGTAAATTTGCAAAAGGCAGGCTGGTGTACTGGTAAGGAAAAGGTTTAGCACCATGTAAACCAGGGTTCGAAACCCAGCAGAGTCAGTTCCTCACATTACCTCCACCTCTACAGGCGCAGCCTCTGGATGCCCTATTTCCTGGTTTAGCAGGGTACTGTGCATGGAAAGACTGAAGAAGATCAGGAGCATGAATATTGTCCACTGGTTCCCACGATCTATCCTCCTCACCATAGCCTTTCCAATGAACCAAGTATTGAAGCTTGTTGCGGAAGATCCTGGAGTCAAGAATTTTTTCCACCTCGTATTCATCTTCACCATCCACGAGGACTGGTGGTGGGGCAGGCAAGGCTCGACCAGGGAAAGTATTTTCATGAAAAGGTTTAAGCAGTGCCACGTGAAACACCGGATGTATTTTCATGGAATCCGGAAGTTGCAGACGGAAGGTGACTGCATTGATCTGAGCGATTATCTTAAAAGGTCCCATGAACTTTTGACCCAATTTATGAGAAGGAATCCTAAGCTTAAGATTCTTTGTTGACAGCCAAACCTTGTCACCAACATGATAAACTGGGGCCTCCTTTCTGTGCCTATCAGCAGCTCTTTTGTAACATTCCTGAGCCTCCGAAAGAGTCTCCTTCAACAGTTCTTGGGAATCTCGTAAGGCGGTTAGCCGGTCAGTGACTGCAGGAATGGGAGTAGTAATTGGGAGACTCACTAGAAAGGTTGGATGGTAACCATAATTGGCAAAAAATGGGCTCAGAGAAGTGGAGCAGTGTTGGGCATTGTTATAGGCAAACTCCGCCGTGGGTAGAAAATCCAGCCAGTCATCCTGCAGGTAACTAATATAGCACCGCAAATATTGTTCTAAAGTCTGGTTGGTTCGCTCAGTCTGTCCATTACTTTGTGGATGAAAAGCTGAAGACAGATTTACATTAATACCTAGAATAGAACAAAAATATTTCCAAAAATGAGATGTAAACTGCACTCCCCTGTCAGAAATTACTTCATCAGGCACTCCATGCAAGCGAAATATTTCCCGAATAACAAGGTCAGCAGTCTGTTTAGCTGAAGGGAGACCACGAGCTGGTATGAAATGACTCATCTTGGTTAACCGGTCCACAACAACAAGAATAGTAGTGTGTTCCTTAGAGGGAGGTAGTTCCACAATAAAGTCCATGGATATAGATCCCCAGGGACGATGAGGAATCGGAAGAGGCTGAAGCAAGCCAACAGGGGATGAACGAGGAGTCTTATGTCTGGCACATACATCACAAGAGGACACATACTTCTTAACATCCTCATAATATTTAGGCCACCAAAAGGATCGGGTAAGATGACCTGCTGGTTTAGAGTCATGGTAGAGGCGTAAAACGTCCAGTCGCACTGATTCTGGAACAAACAGACGTTGTTGAAAAATCCAAAACCCATTAAGCATGGTCATATGAAGATCACGAGGAGGATCACAAAAAACTGGATCTTTAGAGTAGCCCTTTTTAATGCGAGACATTAGATCAGAAGGAAAGGTAACTCCTAAAAATCTGCTCTCCGGCAAGATGGTGGCCTTGGTTACTGTAGTATGGAGGGGGTCAGCTATCCTAGACAAGGCATCCGCCTTGCCATTTCTGGAACCAGGGCGGTATGAAATAAAAAAATTAAACCTTGAGAAAAATAGGGACCAGCGTGCTTGTCTGGCTGACAGTCTCTTAGCGGATTGGATACATTCCAGATTTTTGTGATCTGTGAGGACAGTAATTGGATGGGTGGCTCCCTCCAAGAGATGTCTCCATTCGGCGAAGGCAGCTTTTATAGCCAAAAGTTCTTTATTCCCTATGTCATAATTTCTTTCTGCTGGTAACATCTGGCGGGAATAGAAGGCACATGGATGTAACAACATCTTAGGTCCAGTCCTTTGAGACAGTATAGCCCCAACAGCTGAATCAGAAGCATCTACCTCTACAGTAAATGGCAATTCTGGCTGAGGATGTACCAAGATAGGGGCAGATGTAAACAGAGTCTTTAATCTGGAAAATGCAGTGTCAGCCTTATTGGACCACTGAAAAGGAGTCCCTTTACGTGTAAGTTCAGTGATCGGTGTAATAACGGCAGAGAAATTCTTAATGAAACGCCTGTAAAAATTGGCAAACCCCACAAATCTCTGTATATCTTTTTCATTCTTGGGGATGGGCCAGTCCAGCACAGCTTTAATTTTACTTGCGTCCATACTTAAACCTTTAGGAGTTATTACATACCCCAGGAACTGAATTTCTGTTTGTTCAAACTCACATTTTTCCAGTTTAATGTATAGGTGGTGGGTACGAAGGCGCTCAAGAACAATGCAGACCTGTTTTCTGTGATTTTCAAGATTATCAGAAAATATCAGGATATCATCCAAATATGCCACAACAAA